TTTTATTCAGAAAATAATCCAGTGTGGGTTTTTTTTGAGAAAAACTGTCAGATGGAAGTATCATTTTTTTAAAGGACAATCCAGGTGTAGTGTGTTTTTGAGAAATATGTTACCAATACCAGTGTGTTGGCTGTTCAGTTCTTCAATATCACCGCCATTTCATGTGTACGCATGCATATTTCACTCTTCTTCCCTCTCTGTTTCCATGGACCATAACACCACAGAAACTAACTTAAAAAAGTGTTTATAGAACATGAATGTGTTGAATGGCAACTGCATACAAAATGTCAGCAAGATAAAGCATCAAATCGGATCACCACTTTGAAAAATGGTTCCTCAAATGTGCTCGGCAGCTGTGAGATAAAGCCTAACCTCTCCCTTTGTGTCAATAACCAGGGTGTCTTTTAGGCTATCACTAACAAAACACACTAAGTCAGAAAAGCTCTCACGCCCTACATGTCAATAACGATGTACTTAATTACAAGATAATATAAAAAAACTTAATGGTATAATTGGCTTAGATAAGCAAATATGTGGGATCGTTGGCATACTGTCTACTTAACACATCTTGAAAACATTTTTGTACTATCTAGGTGTTGAAGGTGTATTAAAAACAAATATTTGGGAAGCGTGCAGTGTTCATTTCAACTACTGTACCTTAACTGCACTTACGATTGTCTTCTTTGGGCCCATTACTCTATACTTTAAATTAGATTGAAGTAAAGAGTAATGCCATTTACGGTGCATTGATAGACATATATTGATGTAGAGTGCTACACCCTTGAGCTTAAAAGTCAAGGACAAAAGCTCACCACTCAGCCCTCCACCCATCACTGTCTCCCTGTTTCTTTGTATTCACAAGTGCAACTGTACACATCAAAGATCTCTCTCTCTCTCTCTTGCACTGCAGCCACCTTTTTAACTCCCTTCAAGGTCTCACCCACTGTCACTTTTTCTTGCCACGTTGCTTTAACCATCTTTATTGTCATATATGTTTGGCTACATTTGAGCTTCCAATTAAAATATACCATAAATTACCATTAATACCAGAGTCTGCCTCAAGACTGGTGAGACAAAATCAAAAATCAAAATGCATATAACATCCCTGAGGAACACACACACACGTGTAGGAACACACTCGCAAGGCTGGAGGGAGGGAGAATTTTGACTGCAGTAATTAACTCTAAACCTTTTATCTGCATCTAAGGAATCTTATTATTCAATTACTGGGACCGGAGTGCCTACTGTCAGCTACTGGCTCCTTATGTGCTGGTCCCCAATGGCTCACCCATCCACTTCCTTTCCTATATAGCTCTGAAAATCACCAGCATTCTTTAGCAACATCATCTTCGCCTCAAGCATAGGCTGGTGTAACAGCGAGCGTCCATGATGCGCACAAAAAGCCTACAAGACCAACTACATAAAAGGAGTCCACTCCATTGTTCTTATTAAATCCAATCTGGGAGTGAGCGAAGAGGGTTAGTGTGTGCAAATGGATGGCTGAGAGTGTAGAGAGTGAGGGAGAAGGCTATGGCGATTACTGCAGTGTTAATGCATTACATTAAAACCCTGGCAGAGACAAGGTCTCTCATGTGTACAATACACAGGGAGAGATAAGGGTGGTCTGAAAAGGTTTTCCGTCTTTTATCTTTGCCCCATTCTAGTTTTATCTGGAGGTTAAATATAGTATTTGATGGATGTAAAGAGAAAGAGACAGAGGGAAGAAAAGAACAAGAGGAGACATCTGAGACAGTATCAGAAATAGCAGCTTTTAGCCGAGTCCTGTTTCTCGGTAAAACAGACAGGAGGGCCGACTAATCCTCAACAGTGTAACTACAGATCTTCACAGGGAGAAAGAGATGAGGTAGTGGTGAAAAGCAACCCCCCCCCCGAAAAGTGCAGTGCTCCTCTTTCCTCACTGTAAGTACAGTGTGGTAGGAGTGGGTGTTGGCCCAGTTAGCAACAGATGAATCACAAACCTGTAAAAGCTCTCTGGCTCTGGCCACTGGCCGAACTCCTCTAACATACACATAATAACACCGCATCTGGGTTCACAGAGGAAAAGTGCACATAACTGAGCACTCCTGTGGATAGAAAGAGCTAGTTAGAAAAGAAAGGGAGAGCAAGAGAAAGGGTGGGCAATCTCTTTAGTGCAGCAGGAAAGAGAGATTGCATCATCATGTCGCTCTATTAAAGGGTGCGATGTGCTCTGACTGCTGAGTGGCACACAGTGACTCAGCGAGACCAACCAGTGGGAAACACACGCACACACAGAGTACCTCTCAACATTTCAAACTATACCTTATCATGATTTTAATAATAGAATAGCATCTATTCTAGGTTCTGAGTCAGGCAACGTCCTTTTTAGGGCTTTTCTGAGCTCAGACACAGCTCTGGATTTCACAGTATGAAGTCACTCTGCCAGACCAACAGTACATTGGTCCTTTGGTACATTTTGGCCTTGCCACACGCATAGTTCTGATTCACTCTCGTGTTCTAATATTTGTTTAAAGAATAGTTTTACATTTTGTAGAATACCCTTGTTCGCTTTCTTGCCGAGTGTAAGATCAATACCACTACTCAAGGCTCGTGCAGACTACAAGACTTTTAGCGTCGGCAGATTGAAGTCATTTTGGCGTTCACATTACATGACTGATCGGTGACAGGGGGTCACACACATCACAAGCTGACAGCGTATGTGTCACCTGACGCTGGTCTCCAAATCACGTTTTGTCAAGAAAAAACATGTGAAATGTGAAACGACGCGAACCTACATTGAAGCAGCTGTTGTTTGTTATTATAAAGAGAGCAATTATAAAGACAAAGAATATGGGTGAAAGAATGGATTAGCACACGCAGGTAGCAGGGATCGTCTGTGCTACAGAGAGAGCTAGAGGTGAGTAAAAAGTAAAAACTTCTGCGGTGAAAAAGTAGCTGCCTGCTCTGCCAGCTGCCTGCTCTCATTGGCTGGATGTGGATGTCAAGTCGGCCGACTCTTTCAGATATTTGGCATGCTAGATATCTGGCTGGCGTCGCCGATGTGTCAGAGATTTGTCAGGGAGCCGTTTTGATGGGAGTATTGAAAACCAGTGCTGAACGCTGGCATCAATTGTCTGGTTTTATTTGTAATCTAATTAACTTACAAAGTTCTTTTGCACCTTCTTTTGTTAAGATAACATTTGTGAACTTTAGACTCTTTTGTTAAATGAAAAACATGTTCACACTATCAAAGTAAGGTTTGTACCGAAACTCAAGTATCATATCATCTATACCGCTGGCCCTTTTTCTTAACCATCCATCCATTTTTATCATATTCCCAGCTTGCAAGATCGCAATGAACTGTAATCTCCTGATACAAGACTAGTTTTCTTGTCTGCCAAAGTTCAATGGACGTAAGGAGTCTCAGTGTGGTCTATCTGCAGTTCACTCAGCCGAGGACTCAGGGGATGCACAGCACAAAGCTAATACGACTCCTGAAAGAGCCATTGTGGAAATAACACTCCCCTACCACTCTGCCTTTCACTCCCTCCTTTCATCTATACTTTTCAATTCTCCCTCTCTATCGCTCAGTCCCTCGTAATCAATCTTATTTTCTAAGCTCCATTTCATTCTAAACCCATCTCCAAATAAAGTCTTCCGGCCCCTTTCCGACTGCCTCAATCCTTGACTTCCCCTTCCTCACTCCATCCCACTGCTCCTGATGTAAGCCGTTCTGCCACAGTGGGAAATGAGATTACTGGGATCCATATAGCCACAGACAACACGTTCCATTACATAATGCGGACAGACAGAATGAAAAAGTAATGTGTGTGAGCATGTGGGTGATTGTGAGCATTTGTATTTCTGTGTGTGTGTGTGTGTGTGTGTGTGTGTGTGTGTGCGTGCTGGATTAAGGTCATTAGAGTTTTAGCCATCCAGATTGGTAGTAAATGTTGGGTCAGTAAATACGGTCTTAAACCTACATACATGCATGCACGCACAAAAACACACACTTACGCACTCATATTTATGGTGAGCAACTTTGAAATCTATTGTACATGATATTAGCGTGTTTTCCACCCACATGTGGCAGTATTGCCAAGGCTTGACATTGCTCTAGTAAAATGCTCGTAAAATTACCCAAATGCACAGCTGAATATTAGGTTATTCTTAAAGCATGCAAGGATACAAATATAATAAAGAGTTCTCTCTACTCTTACTCTACTGACACACAGAAAATGATAAAGGAAAGCCTGGACTATAGGAATGATACAGGAAACAGTGTGGCGAGTTTCAGTGGGGGAAGAAGTTGTTTTACTCAAGTAAAAGTAGCAATACCTCAGTGATAAAATATTGCTGGTGGTTAGCTTAGTTTGCTAAAGTTTTGGCTATTCCATTAAAACACATATAACGTTCCAAAAATAGTAGCCAGCAGTGTATGTGGAAGCAGCGTACATAAATAAGTAGTGATCATCCAATGAAAATAATCATTTAGGTCTGTGGTGCAAGTTTCAGCTTGGAATCACTTTCTGTCTAGCACACAAGCCACACTGGTTACCGCTGGCTGATCATCAGAGACTCAGTGTTAGTGTCTGTAATGAGCTGATAAAGCTGATGATAGCTAACATAACATGTTGGCAGTGTATTTTTTTTTCAAACATTGAAGAACTGATACAGCAACACAGTCATATCCAGCATTGGGCGTGCGCTTCTGGTGTCTGAGGGAGGAGGGGCCAACTTTGAATGTTGTGTTTACAAACCACAACTGACAAATCCTACTCATTCTGCCTTTATGCAGAAGTACAGAAGTATTAGTACCAAAAAAGACTTTTAAAAAAACTTCCAAAAAAGCATCAAAAGTAAAAGTACTTATTAGGCAGAAGAATGGATTTACTTAGCACATCCAGCTGTATGTTTTTCTGTGCTTATGGGTGCGTGCATGCATTACTGTGTAAGTGTGTGTGTAAGTGTGTGTGTGTGTGTAAGTGTGTGTGTGTGTGTGTGTGTGTGTGTGTGTGTACCCAGAGATCCAGTTCTGTGCAGGCTCAGGTAGGCTCTGTCTCTTTCCAGCCCCCCACCCGGCTCTCTGCGCAGGGCGGTTCGGCCCAGATGACCAGCATATTGTCGCAGGAAGGAGGGAGCACTGTGGGAGGCGGGAGGGTGTGCGGCACACACCACCATGGGCTCTGAGACACACGATGAAGAGGAACAGCCAGGGAGAGAGAAGAGGGGGAAGAGAGAGAGAGGAAGAGAGAGAGAACAGAGGGAGCAGAGAGTGCGACAGAAGGCGAGAGAGTGAAGAGAAAGCTCAGTAGGACAGCAGGTTGACACAAAACAGAAAGAGGAGGGCAGGAGACAGGAATAAAGGAAATAAGGGAGAAAGAGAGGTATGAAGAGTTGAAGAGGGAGCAGGAAAAAGAGAAAGAGGAAAAAGGATGACACAAGGTCACATGGAGGCCAGACATAGAGAGGCAGCAGCACATGAAGGAGCACTACAATATGTAGTAGATAATGAGAATGTAGATAAAAGTGGGAATGCAGCTGCTGTTCTCATGTTAGAAGAGGAAACAGTTGTGGCACACAGTAATAGTATTAGCCTTATAAAGTGGATGAGACATGAGGCATGCAAAGTGGAAAATATGTTGAGTCATAGACTGATAAAGGAAACAGGCCACAGAGGTAAGGGAGTAACCAAATCACTTATGGAAGAGCTGCAATAGATATTTAGCTAACTGTTAGACGAAAATGAAAGTCTATAGGTCATTTAAGCTGCTGGATAAACAAATGTTCCTTTTTGACCTTTTCAAAACAAAACACCTTAACCCAACCCATCAACAATGGTGACACCCTGTCAGCATGCATGTATCACCACCTTTCTTTGACATTCATTAGTATTAAGGAATCCATTTTGCACATGTCACATCTCCTAGCTTTCAAGTAATCCCCAATTTCCTCCACATTGCACTGTAAAGTCCACCGTGATCCCCAAGCATTAGGGTTTAATGTTCCTCTAAAATCCTCACATGATTTCCTCTACAGTCTCACCCTCCAGGAACACAGTGGAAGAACAGATCTGAGGTCAGCGCCAGAGTTGACTTTTCTTCTAATTAGCGCTTTGAAAAATGTGAGCAGTGTTTTTTTTTTTTTTAAACCACAGTCTGACTAAGATGTGTAGAGATGTGAGGGTCGGGAGGGTGATAAAGTAAGGGAAAAGGGCAACAAGAGACAGTAAAGTACAAGATGTAGAGCAGTGGTTAAAATTTAATGGTCCTTTCTTATCCTCATCACTTCCTCCATCCAGCTCCCTCTCTCTTCCTCTTTGGAAATAAACTGACATAGCTCAAGCTATTATAGACTAAAGAGAGGGGTGAGAAAACAGGAGGACGAGGGTAGAGATGGCAGGGAGTGAAATGAGGTATGGATGTTGCAGCCCATGAGAATAGGAATAACAACAACAACTAACACAAACATTATCCCTCTTTGTATCCAATCTGCAAAGCCAGCCAACATCTTTAGCCTAGAACACAGCACAGCTATATTTGTACACCAAGACTTTTCATGTTTTCTCACTTTCTGTTTGTCTTTTCACTTTCTTTTGTCTCGGAGACAAAAGCACATGCTGAAACAGAGGCAACCTCCCTCACTCTGTTCTGACCTGGTTTCTGTCTGGAGCCAGAATAGGATGCAAACAAACACACACACACACACACACACACACACGTCAGATTTTTCCAAAGAGGAACCTGCAATCCTGGAAGATGCCCAGCAGATGGCACCCAGAGTTTCAGAGAATGACGTTGCTTTTTGTGTTTTCGTGTTAAGACTTTCTCTTTAGCTCATGTAAAGAACCGAAATTAATGTATCTGAATTCATAATGAAGCTTTGTGGACACACAGACCTGTGTAGTTTCCAGCATACTACTCCTTTCAGTCCTGATGACTAACTAGTGAAGTAGAGTGAACAGCGAAGTGATGGTGACAAAGCTGATGATGGGGTGTAGATGATGAAGGTTAAGATGGCTAAGGTGAAACTGTGTGCGTGTGTATGTGCATGTGTATGTGTATGTGTGTGTCAGCTTTGTGTTTGCATGTCTGTATGCCTTAATGGGTAGTAGTAAACATGTTTGATACACATACTGCTCATGAGATACTTGCATTAACAAATACATTATTTCATGAGTAGTTCAGTATAAATGCAAGACATAGAAGAGTGAAGGACAGTGCAATATCTGCTGCCATCATTTTGCATAACCTTCATGCAGCTCCTTAAATGATCAGTTATGACCTCTATTTTGACTCTCTCCGCCTACACCATCATTTGCAAACCACTACATTGGTTAATGCTTCTTCATGTGCTGAAAAGGCTCCAAATGAAGACGTAAGGTCTTCAACTGTGGGAGCACACATGAGAAACTGCTCTTTAATGGCGTGGTTCACCTGCTCCTGTGTCGTAAGACTCTAGCCATAACAGATGTTGGAGTTAAACTAATCACTGTGTGACTCCATAGAGGGATATGGAGGTGACTCTGATTACTCTTCATTATAATGACGACACACGCTGCCTCGCTACCTTTTTTAAAAACTTTCACCTAAGGCTGGACAATAAAACAATAATTATAAATAGAACAAATGTTCAATGAATATTCAATAATAATTTCATTCACTTGATTCATGAACAAATTAGGACTTAATTTTTTTATTAAGATGTTTATTTTGTTGAGAAAAGGACTGGAAAAAGCTTTGACTTAATTTTACTCGCATATTTGTTGACAAAGATTTTATCATAATTGTTTTGAATGTTCAACCTCAGATTTGTGAAGTGATTCACCGTTTGTAATCAAGTGTTGACCATAAAGAAGAGTTTAAACCGTCAGGTTTCTTCAACTTTCACTCAGGAGTAAAAATCAGCCTTTAAACTCGAAAGAAATAACAATTTGATTATCGTGATAATTATCGATATTGAAAGATATGAAACTTTTTATCGTGATAACATTTTTGTCCATATGGTCCAGCCCTACCTTCACCTTCTATTTCTGCTGTTATGCACTGAGATACTGTATTTACATGCAGTATATAGATACACAGTATAAGATGTTAGAAGTATTACACACAAGAAATATTTTTTAAGTTTGTGTTTGAGCTGCAAAGTTTGAAATAGGTCCCCAAATGCATATTGTAAGCCTGTGTCATAACATCTGCTAAGGTGCTTGTGTATACCTGTGTGTGAGTGCTCTTGTTGATGTATCTCACCATTGTCCCTGGCTGCAGATGGCTCGTCCAAGGCCATCTGTTCTGCCAGTTCGGACAGGGAGTCATCGACGGGCCGAGCGCTGCGTAGAGACATAGACAGCCTCCGCTTGATTATCTTCATCCTGTCCATCTTCTCAGCCGCACCACCGGGGCCCACAGGCCTGAGGGAGAGAGACGACCACCAACATTATCATCCCCGTCATCATAATCATGGCCTTTGTTCTCATTATAACCACCAACAGCTAGATCCACACTGCCCTGTTAATCTTCTTTGTACAGTAAAACGACTGCAGTGCAGCCTCTGCGCATTTTCTACAGTTCTTTGGGCTCCCGATGATTGTGTTTGCTCGCACAGCGTGCGGTCTCATTGTTATGTATCCCAAGTGCAAACATTGCAGAATGAAAACACAAAGTGAGAGAGCAGACCCAGAGAGATAGACAGAAAGAGAGAGAGAAAGAAAGAGAGGAACAAACAAAAAATGGACCCAAAAAAACCAAAAACGTGTAAATGGCTGACTATGCAGCTCCCTAGAGGTTTCCGACAAGAGCAGCTCTCCCCAATGAGTTGTGATTGACATACATGTCTGTCATCTACAGTATTCCAATGCAAAAATGGCAGACAAAAGTATCATATGACACCAAAATAAAGTTCTTCATATTCAGACACATATACACACCATCTATGGGTGATTCTCTAGTAGTCCAACCTAAGCTAGAGTCCATGTGACAACAACCAGACAACTCTAATGGAAAGCTGGTTTCAAACACTGTATAAACTTCATGTGGTTACAGGAGAGAGAAGCATCACATCCTTGAAATAAAGGGGTGCGCACATATTGTGTTTCCAGCAAAGTGCTCTCCATATTCACCGGTGAGCCGCCTATGTGTATTGTGAATTTGCGTGTGTATACCTCTTAACATCAGTGAGCTTTCAAAATCCTATATTGTTTTGAGTGCCCCTCAGCAGGCATTTAGAATCTAGTTTATATGTGTATGTACAGTAAATGTGTCTTTGCATGTGTGTATTTCTGTGTGCTGAAGTCACTTTGCACGCCGTGTTCCTCTACACTCTGCTTTACTGGCCTGGAGGTAGAGGCAGCTATAGCAGATTATTTCTGTCCCCCTTCCGCTTTTTGCTACTTCTAACCCAGAAGAGCTCGAGAGCTGGAGCTGACATGCACACAAACACACACACATACACGGCAGACACTGCCTTTCTCTTTGTGTCCAACCTTGGAGGCTTCAACAAAAGCCATTCATCCTTTCAGGCTTTCAGGCCTATTAGAGACAGCCACTGCTCTGAGGGAATTCAAACTCAGTGATCCTCACTCAGGACAACTGGCTTTTTTTTCACCAAAAGATGCACTTAGGCGAGTATCCTCTGCTAACAACATTGCCTCATTGCCAATTTACACAAGCCCAGTTGGATGTGGTTCGCACCTCATCCAGAGGCGTTTTTTTCAAGACCAAGAAAAAAAGTTTCGAAAGGGAACAAAGGAGCGAAAGAGGAGCAACTCACATTCATTTCATAACATTCGTCACCCACGGATTATCAGTATGGAACGAATCTCCCTCCCCCCCTCATTTGCATGTTTTCCCAGACTTCACCAGCCTGCTCAGACGAGGAGTTCGGGTTCTCCTAACGCAACCTTGCAGCCGTCATCCACGAATCTTCAAGAATAAATGACTCGCATTATGTTGGAACAGCCGATTATATAAATCACTGCTTATTACCCAGATAAACACATTCGGGTGTTATCATCGACACACACTTCCATGCTCACACCCAGGCATATCTGTATGTGCGATGCACAATAATGACTAATTTCACAGTCGTCATCTTAGCTAATGCAGTGGGGATCTCATAACCAAGAGGCTTATAGAGGGAAACACTTCAGGGTACCACTGTATATTATATACATATATTATATCCATCCATCCATCCATCATCAACCGCTTATCCTGCGTGCAGGGTCATGGGGCATATATTATATATAATTGTATTTATAATACACTGAAATAAGGTGTAGTCTGACTTGTAAACAACTACACAAATAAGTTAACAACATTCATTTTATGTAACTAATAACTTTTTTCTACTTAGTTTGTAAACGTTTCCCATCTGCTTTTAAATACTATTTTTATGAAATATTGAATCTACCCACCAACTTTTACCATCATTGTGCATTGATTATATCTTCTCATTTATATGTTAATGTATATATTTATGCACAAATCTAAACAATTGTGCCTGCCAACTGCATGAACGTGGTTATTAATGGCTTTGTCTCCCTGTTTTGATGCTATATTAACATTTCTGTATATTTAAATTATTGCTGTAATGCTACAATATTAGCTTTGTGTAAGTAAAAGGGCTAGTCTGCATTCAGGAAGATACTTTTACCATTAAGGACAATGTAAGACATTTTCTTGTGCATAAGTGTATTGTAAAAAAAAAAGTTTCTGGAACAATGAAGTGTTATGAATGTGCATTGGATGTTGAGTCTTGTCTGATGCAGATGGACGTGGCAGTGTGAAGGGCTTGGCAGAGGCGCAACAGCAAGTGGGACGAGCCATGTGGCTCCAGGCTTCAGCATGTGCAGGCCAAACTCACCAAACACCCAGCAAACCACGGACAGCTCTGATGCATAACTCCCACTAAACGGAGGGACGCACTCCAGATGATATCACTCCTTCAAAGACACTGCAAGCACTTCTGCTGATCTGGTTGCGTTTGAAATTGATGCAGAACACTGTTGAAGAGCTCACAAGGAGTATAACATTGGCTGTGCAACAGAGCAAACACAAAAGAGCAAAGGTCAACAGGGTAACCGATACAAAAGGAGTAAGAAATAAAACCTTCTCCAACTTTGCTCTAAGTTATTTGTGGGTGTCTGTTAACAGCACGTGCACATGTGTTTCCACATGCGTGCGTGGGTGGTTACGTGGATGTGGTAGCATTGGAGGTGAGGTGAACTGACACACGCCATGAGAAAGGACAGTGGAGGAACATGGTCTGATTTATTCAAGACACACACCATTTTGGTTGCTAGGTTACAGGCCCGTCCTGGAACCGCAGTTTCTGTCTCTGAGGTACAAATAAGAAGAACGGAGACAGAGAGAGGCGAAAAAGTGAGAATTCACAATTCACATCTCTATGTCTCCTTTTTCTGTACTCATGCCCATACACACACACACACACGCGTGCGCACACACTCACATGCTCATGTCAGCTATTAAAACTTCCAGCCCTCTAGAGCTCGGGATGCCTCACAGTGCTGCCGCATGCAATCCTTGCCAGCCTTGCTCTGGGATTCCTCTGCCAATTATGCCTCTTTAGGAGGCAAAAGAATGAATGGACCCAAGGACCTGAGGTGCAGTATACACAAACACTAGGTAGCTGCAGGTTTGTCACGCACATACATGTACAAACACACAGATTTTTTTAAATTAGAACAGAAGGTAGGATTTCAACAGCTTATAAGGCAAAGAGCCATCCAAGATTTTGTTTCAGCCAGATATTGTCTTACCTCCTGTACCTCTCGATCTTAGCTTTTCAAATAACAAACAAACACGCATTCTTCTGTAATTCAGTGGCACATGAGTCACACGCATGCATGCACTCACATACAATGAGGCAGAGTGGAACGGGCACTCATCGGCGCTCCGAACATGGCTTGGCATAGCGGCCTGAGGAGGCATGAGTAATGCATAAATCTGCCCAGCTACAGAATCCAACACACGCATCTCTTCTGACGCTTCACCCACATCTCCGGAGTTAGATGAGGAGAAGGAATTATGGAAAGAAAATGAATGAATAAGAGTAGCACAAGACTGCAAAAAGACAAGGCCAAAGATCTGAAGTGCCATTTTTCAGCCTCGAGAGGAGGAAGGAAAATAGAGTGTCTGGCTCTGTGATTTTGGGGATATCTCGCTCAAAGGGTGTCACACAAAGATTCCAATAACTTTTTCCAATATCGATATCATGTATGCAAACATACATACTAAAAATCATCCACGGTGGGTGGAAATCATGGGCAATACTCAAAGGCGTAAGCTTCTTGGATGAGAGGCAAAACATCTTCGAGTACCTTCAAAGTACCTTTCACCTCACAATGGATAACTATGACCTGGACGACTGAGAATCTTCATGGATAGGCTATATAAAATCATCAAATTGCAGTCAGTGTAATAACCCCTGTTCCACTGTTAATAATTACATCAACACATTTCACACATGTAAATGCATACATGTGCAATAATCGTTGAATTGTTCATTTGGAAGACAGAATTTTGTAGAACAATAGTATCATAATGATGTGTTTCCACTGAAGGTTGGTACAAGATAACATTGAATAACTGGCCAGCCAAAACATCATTACTCAAAACATTATTATTATTATTGCTGGCCAGGACAGTAGTGTAAAAGAGAATATTAATGTCAGTAAGACCATTTCCCCCACATAGTGGCGTACATAGTACAGGTGTATCCTGTGCAACTTCATAGTAATTGTTTTTTCAGGACATTCAACTGTGAGAAAATAAGACCAGGCATTGAGAGCCACTGGGCAAAACCAAAAAATATAAAGAGTCTACAAAAGTCGTGAAATTCTGTGTGATGTTTTTAATGTCTGTCTAATATATAACGAGGCCATTATCAAAACTGTAGTCGAAGTGTCATTATGGTAATTAGACAGTTATGGGCCTAAAATAAGATACAGTAATAAAACGGGGTTATTATGGAACCCGGATTATCAGTGAGGTTGCAACGCAACGGCGTTGGCGGGGGTGTGCGTGACTTTCAATCTGGACATCCCACACTGAGATGGACAAATCATTTCGCGTTCATAATAATAGGCTAGATGCTGCTGAGAAATACGTGTTCGGGCGATACTTGTTCAACCTGTGTTGGCGTTAGTAGGTAGGCTATCAGCGAACATCCACGAGGTTGCTGCGGGATCTGCGGACGAGCGATGGTCCTGACATTATCCCGTGGGACCAGACCTGGCAGCGGGCAGAGATCACATTGAGTGGGCAGCAATTTCAGCCGTGCGATAAATGATCACGTGTCTCAAAGCAAATTACTCGGCGGTTCGTTTCGGGCCTGGCTGGCACTGATCCCTCTACCTTCCCAGGCCTTTTGCGTTTTCGGTCAGTTCCTCTCGCCCCCTGTTTTCCTGACGCAAGTATCCGGGAGGAGGAGAGTCAGGCAGGGCAAAGGAAAGTTACACATCCACCATGCTGGCTCAGAAACTCCACGGAAATAGGACAGTGATCACCTCTGAGTGTGTCCCTATGTTACGATTATGGATTTACATGGGTTAGGACCCTGAAACCATTGTAATGTGTATAATAAATTGCTCAAGGGACTTAAATCTGACTCGGACTATGGTATCACTTTTTATCTGCTATGGTGTTACTTTAATTTTCCTGCTGCGATTTGGATTTTTACAGCGATATTTGAAGAGTACCTGTATCCACATTAGTTCCACACAGGCGCACGTTTACACAATGTTATAACCCAGTCAAAATCACCTAAAACCCGGAAAATTAACTCCACCTGCAATGTCAAGTGAGAGGACAACCGTGGTTATCGTTGCTTGTCCTCCCGGTGTGCATCGTCAATACACGACCGAGAAAAAAAGAAACGTGGAACCGAACATAAACAAACCAAAATACTGCTGCCACTGACCTGCTAGTGCTTCTGCTGCAGACTATTGTTCCACTTGTGTATGGTAATCCAGGCGGCACGCTGGGGGTGAATCCACTGCGACAAGTTCTTCCAACTACTTTGCTGTAAAAACACAAGCGGATTGCCGTGAACCCGTCGGGTAATCTTACACCTGTGTTACACGGGGTGTCGCAGTGTCCCGTTGCCTGAGTGAGTGCATTGTGGACCTGTAGTAATGCATTATTTGCCCTGACTTTCGCTTATGAACAGCACCGTCCCGTCCGGTGATGATCAGCCATATCGCTGCTGCGTGGATCCCAAGTGGAAGCAGTGGCGTGATCCCGGAAAACACCACAAGGGGTGTGTGAGTGCATGTGTGTGTGTGTGAGAGAGAGAGAGACAGTGAATGTGTTTGTGTGTGTGTGTGTGTGTGTGGATCAGACTCTCTAACCTCCACCCCCAACCCTCTCTTCTCTTTCTCTCTATGTAGGGGGGGTCCGATAGATTAGGGGGCAGTGCCGCCGGGGAAATTAGCCTTCATCATGCAAGCCCCATTCCCATAGGCCCAGAGTTTCCTTGTGAATAATACATGGACTGAAAATTATGGAAATTCAACAGTAGGCTATGATCCACCACGGCGCAGACTAGATGGCATCAACACTAGTGAGAATATAGTGCAAGGATAATTTCGGAAAGTTTCGCTTGCCCTGCTGAAATAGCATACAATTTTCAAAGTTGTGAGGTTTAAACATACTGATGCACACACGAGACAAATACCTAACTTACTTACTGGTTAAAGTATAATTACAGTGCTAAACAGTCCACGTAGATGCACATGCTCCTTTTCATATAAAATGGCTACTACCTGGATGACTACTGTGGAGACCCGATGCCAAGATGTTTGACGTGCTTTAGGCCTAATCTATGTTCTGGAATAAAATAAAAGTGAATAAAACTCAACTACTGGGCTACTCATTCCCTTTTTTTCGTTTCCGGAGATTACCTGGATCCCAAACTGTTACGTCGAAAATCACAGATGACACAGCAAACGCAGTGTAGATGAGTCAGCCTGCTGGTCTTCATCGCCACCGTGTGGTTAACTCAAACAACAGCAGCGTGTTTTCATTCAGAGGCCAAATGTCTTTACTGGAGCAAATCCTGCAGGGACAGGTCCATCTATACCCCCCCGTAGAAAGAGCCAATAAAGGCAAGACACCTAGCCTCCAATAATGAAATAGGCGTTGCTGTGAAATATAACAGCCAACAGATGTTCAATTTGGTTGAGAATGGTAGATTCTGTTAAACGCTAGGTTAGACCATGTTCTCAAATAAGTCGTGATACTCTTTAAGAATTCGGATTGTTTTGAGATCAAAAGTATTTAATTTACGGACACTAGGTCTACTCGGCCTGTAAAACAACATCTTCTGTGGCTTTAAAGGGAGCTTTCCAATGTCTGGAAAAAACTACTCTGAAGATGTCATCATGTGGATTATCTCAGTTTGGGCTCCAGCCTCCAGGCTTAACATTTTTAATTGAGGGCTTGTGTTACAAACTGGCAGTGTAGGGTTGGAAAGGAGAGGACATTTAGGAGGCAGGGGCAGTCTAATGAAAGACACTATCGAGTTGCATTTTAGAGATTTTAGAATCCAGTGTTTTTGGAGCTTGACCCATTAAAATCAAGATATCCCCGCTTCTCCTGCTCTGTCTCTTGTAATTCCCCCAACTTTAGGGAAGCGCTAAATCATTGGAGTACTGTATTAAATGAATTGATACAACGATGAATGAATGAAAAAATAAATCAATCACAAAAATGTTTTGATGGATAGTTAAAAATGTCTTTGCGGTTTGAAATGGCACTGGTACGATTTTCTTGGAAAATATTGTAATGTTAGCTTACTCCACTACATTTTTGACAGCTAGGCTACTGAGACCGGGGCAATTGTAACAGGGGGCAACTTTAACACGCTAAATTCCTTCAATCACAAAAAACCTAGACAAAGCTATGACACTTAATCTGCACAAACTCAGAAAAATTTTCTCTCTGCCTGTGGAAAAGGACCTTGATAATTTCACCTAAGCAGAAGTTTTCGTTTTAGATCTAGAGTATTTTTCTTCTGCTGTCTACAAATTTTACTTACATACATTTTATCTCTGGGGTATTGGTTAAAAATTAACATGAATAACCTATGCTAATAAAGGTGTGGCTCGCTAGCATACAAGGTTTTATTATGACTGCAACAGTGGGGCCAACACTGTGTGACAGTTGGCCCAGAGGCACATGACCCAAAGCAGCTTGTTTTTCTGTGTTGACATACGTTTCTGTTAGAAAATGATCAAATTTCACTAAATTTAAATGTTAAACTGTTTATTCTAGTATAACCATAAATCATCAATTAACATACAGTCTTTGTATTAAACAATGTCTGTTTCATATGTGTTTGACAGGAAGTGTGAATATTATGTTATATCTGTCTGCAAAAGCAAAGTTCCTTTCATTGTCAATTTTAAGTGGCTTAAGTGGTTAAATTTAAAGTGGTTTGATTGTATAAGACCCATCAAAACCAAAGAGAATGATTAGTTCACTTGTAAGAAGCAATTTTATGAAATTAGAACAGAGAACTTAGCAGACATCTAAAAGAATTTGAAACATATTAACAAAAAAACAACAACTCTTAAGTAACATTATTAGATAATACAGCAGTAACGTGATTACTTTGAAGCAGGCTTTAATTTGAGACACACTGGGTTAATAGGACTTATTTTTTAGTGTTAAAAGTGTAACACTCTGACTTGTAACACTCTGACTTCTTGCATTTATGTTTTGCATTTAATCAATGGTTTGATTAATTAGTGCATCTATATATGTTTCTTGTATCAAAAGATGACTAGTGTATTTCAAGTATGAAGGAAAATGTAAAAAAAAAACAAAAAAACAATCTAGCTTAGCTACCTCTGCACTTTTACTAAAGTAAAATGTTGAATTGGTGCTTTTAGTTTCAGTAAAGAGTGCGAGTATTTGTTTTGCTCTGGCATTGACCGCTAGAGGTCGCTAACGGTTTCCTGTGGGACCTGAACCGGCGGCTCCGCTGCAGCTTGTTAGCTTGCTTGTCTTGTTTTTAGGCAGGTTGTCAGGGGCAGCACAACAGCCAGTTAGCAAACACTGGATTAAGGGACCTGAGGTAATGATGACACATTTATTTATCAAAGTACACGACTGCCTGCTTACCTGCTTTTTCGCTCGGGGCTGCCCCGTTTCTTTGGGTAAAAGCAGCGGTGACAACAGCGTCGATTTTTTATATCGAAACAGCCAGATGAGGAGGATTGCCCTGTAGCTAACGTTAGCTAGGTTTGCCAACGTTATCAGGCAGACGTAAAAAGTGAAAAGACATTGACAGTAACGTTACTAAGTCAATAGATATATCTAGCTCTCCATTGCAGTTGTTTTGCGATCGCCTGGTGCGAAAATGGAAGACTCTTTGAAAGATTTAATGAAGCAGGATGAATACGACGACGGGGATAAACCATTACTATCGCCCCGCAATCCGCCTCTGCGCTCCACTCGACTGCAAGTCCAGAGAAGTAGTATCTGCTCTCGCGCATATTTCGTTGTGGTTATGGTCTTCTTCCATGTATATATCCTGAATGTGATCGGCCTGCTGCTCTACGTGCACTACAACAACGGCCCTGGGGATCTTGTCAGCGGAGACGAGGCCTCCTCCGCATCAGTCAGCGAGAGTGGGACCCCTCTGCCCCATCCTGACCCAGCTTCAAGAGAGCTGCATGTGGAAGACTACAGTCAGAGTTTCAGTCTTCCTCGCATTGAGGGGATACGGGTAAGAAAACGGGCATACTTGCAGGACGATAAAGCTTGCCATTTTAACTCTCTAATGGAAAAACAAAATACTGTAATACAATAAGTGCAGCCCCAACCTGAGCCATGTTAAATTCATCAGAACTGAACGTGACTAACAGCTGCTATAGCAATGTTTCCTTGCATTTGAAAACCCCTCATGTTGTGATTGTGTTGATAATGTGTCTTCTCCATCTGCAGGTGGGTCATGTTCAGCAGGTGTCCCTCTCGCCAGACAGAACGCACCAGATGAAGACGATCAGCCTGAAACCTCTGCTGTTTGGTAAGTGCTCTGTGGTCTTTGGGTGTGATCTGCTATGTGTGAATAAATGGCATTCGATCGGGATTTAGAACACAACATTTAATTTTTTTCTCAAAGCCATACAAAATATAGACCAGAAATATTTACTTAAAATTCACATATATGTACATTGTCTATTATACTTCTTTTTATTAATTTGACCTCCACTGCCTGAGAGACAGTGTTGGTTCTTTTATGAACTCCTTTGTGACTAGCTGACTGCATATTATTTCTTCCATGACCACAGAAGTTTGGACATGATTTAAAGAGACTACACCAAGCATAATTTACAGTTGTAGGTATTTAGTCAAATTCTAAATGCTATGTCTATCCTTTCCCTATGCATAGCTGTTTAATGTTTGTTTCACATCTCAGTTCTTTTGGATTTCCTAACGTAATCCTAGCTCCTGCATCTGTGGTGTTTCCATTTGCGTGCTGCCGCCATCAGGTTCTTGTCCAGTCTCTGCCAGGCATAAGCCTTGTTGACCACCAGGCGCTCCCCCTGCACTGTGCCTGTCACTAGGAAGGTCCCGCCTCGTGGATGCTGCCGCGTCATGTTCCTTACGCAGGTGGCATCCCTCTCCAGCCACAGTTCGATGCGGGAACGGATCTGCCCACCCAACAGGGGTCCGTGCTTCAGAATGTCTAGTTTGTCAGCGAGAGAGAACTGAGACAGACTCACTGGGCTATGCTTGAGCCGAGTTAGACGCAGTTTCACAACTGGGGAGAAAGCAGATAAACAAAAGACATGATTGCCATCAACTTAAGGAGCAGTGTGCTCTTCTCTGTTCATTTTCCATAATTAATCAAAAACATATAATCAAGGATAGGACCGGACAGAAAATAAGAGGTGGAAGAATAATCATACTCACCAAAATCACTCCTACAAAAGGTCTCCAGTATATCTTTTGAAGAAGAGGCATCCTCCAGCTCACAATCTCTGCAGCTTGCCTGGGGCACTGAAAATGCCAAACCACTAATTTAATCTTTTGTTTAATGCAATCACCTCAAACCTATGTGTCTATGTTGTCTTTCTTACCTCTACGCCCCCCTGTGTGAACAGTGCTGTTGGTGATTGAGGAGATACACATGAGATGGTCTGCAGGATACTGGTCACAGCGCAGGATTTCTGGCCAAGGGTAGCCATAACAGCTCATGATTGGTGCACAACTGTCCCGTACAGATTCGCACAAACTCCTGCAGGGTGATATAAACCTGTTAAAGAGGGGATGGAGAGGGAACATAAGCGGCATTAAATAGATGACAGGGTTTGAATCAGTAGTGTAGTAGTGAGAAACTAACAAGACTGGATAAGATAACATTTGATTGCTTGTTTTTCTGTTTCTAATCTGAGGGGTGCTAATGTGACCAAAAAAAGATTATAGTGCTTTGATGGCTTGGTTTCTGTGTGAAACCCAGACCAGCTTCAATTTGCATAGCTTTCATAAAGGTGTTAACCCTTGATCACCCTGCTGTTGTGTAACTTTTGTCATTAATCTAAAATCACAGTTATTTCTGCACTGTTACTAAAATAAGCCACTCATTATTGGTCGTTCTCAGCCGTATGTAAGGGTGATTTAAAACTGGGACCCACTACAATACGACACACGACACACTACAATATCAAGTGCAAACAAAAACTTGTGAGCAGCTTCCCTGTGAATGACAGTTCCTACAAAGAAATTGTGGCTTGAAAAAGTTGACTATATATGTTAATAGAAAAAAGCTTTTTTGTGGAAACTTACCTGTCGAGGCAGATGGGTGCAAAGAGGGAGCAGAGGAAGATGCGGGCATCAGGGTGGCACTCTCTTGCAAGTAGTGGCAACCAGCTGGCACTCTGTTGTACAGCCTCTGCTGGAGACTCGTGACCCAGCAGGTTGGGCATCCTCATGGTGTCATAACCGATGTTTTGGCACAAGGCCATGCCTGATGGGATAGGGACACAGCGAGAGGAACTGCGGGGCTCCCACAGTCCGCTTTCACCTATAGAAAAAGTGGACCGGAAGCCAGTGGGAGTGCCAGGGTCCCCCCACACTTCATCATCATCATCATCATCGGCTGCAGCTAGTCTAGAAACAGGAGGATCTCCAAATCCAGTTTCAATGTTGCCCTCAATACTTGCCCTGTCCCCGCCTTTGTCCTTTACTCCAGATCTAACCCTACCCTCAGCCCTCGCTCGTCCCTCCAGCCCTGCCCTTCCTCTACCAGGACCAAGAGCTATTGTGCTGTAAGGCCCAGCAAGCAGAAGGAGAAGTAGTAGGGAGGCTGAATGGGAGGACTTTCTGGAGGTAAAATGTGGGCAGCGCACTGCAGACATCCTGGGAAAGAAGTTGGAAAGGAGGAGCAATCCTGAAGTGTGTCTCTTGAGCGAATGAAGACCCCGTGTGTGACAGTGTAGGAGAGCATGGCAGGATAGGTTTATTTATAGTGGGCGGTGATTACATTTGCATAGGAAGGGGTAAGGGGAGGTGTAGAGAACAGTAGGGAGAAGGGTTGGGGGCTCACATTAAAGTGTTATTAAGAGATGTGAATCCACTTATGTGTTTATGAGCAGATTTAAGTATGTTTGACAGAGCTCAAGATTAGTAAGGTGGATTATTTGGCATTTGGATACTTTTGGCTTTCTGCCATTTCCCTCCCCTGAGCTTGATTGACCCTCATGTAGAGAAACTCCTTCACCGGCATTTGTCCCGCCCTGACTTCTCTGCTATTTACGCTTCTTTTTTAATCCACCCCTCCTACTTTTTTTTTTTTTCTTTAGGTGTGCAAAACAAGACAGTAGTAGCTGCTCCTGTGCGCATTACTTGTGCGTTTTGTGTGTGTGGACACAAAAAGAATTGGTGTCGTCCTGCTGTGTAGCCGTGGCCTGATTCCTCTTCAGACAAGCAGGTCACTTCCTGCTTGTCTGAACAGGGGAGAAAGAGAGAGTGGCGGGAGGGAGAAGAGGAAGCCCCCCCCCCCCTTCATTCATATCAGTTATCCAGATTAATGAGGCTTGGCTGGACAAAAGGGACTAACCAAGTGGGTACAGTGTAAAAGACACGGGTGACAAACAAGGTCTCTACTGTACAGGCAGCCAACCTGCCGGAAGCCTTTTATTAAGAGGGGAAATGACTGACAGACAAAGATGGGTTGCTGGGACAGAACAGGAGGGAACCATGAAACAGTAATTTGTCCCTTTTACACTTGAATAACTTCAGTAAATGTATCTAATAAAATGCATGAAATATGACTTTTTGCTGGTGTAACAAATTTTTCTAGGAAACCCAGGACAAAATGGAGAAAAGAGACTGTTTTAATGTGGGGTAGCTTGGAACAACATTACTAATAAGTATAGTAGGTGTAAATGATTATTTTCCTGCTTTGCACAAATTAATGTTAGCAATTACTGACTCCCAGAAGCCGACAGTTTCCACCCTCCTCTGGGAGAAGTCCAGTGTTGTCACTCATTAAACCTGCCCGTGGGATAGGCTATACCACAAATGGCTCACTGGGGAGTGATGTAGGGGAATAGCTTGTACTCATTTATGTGCACACGTATAACTGTTACTGAAGAGTTCCAGTGCTTAAACACCTACTAAAACATGCAAGAAAGCTATAATTGGTTAGCATACACTGTTAAGTTAAGTGGTTTTCCGCATTTAACTCTAAAATGATATCAAGATAGATTTGCCTGTTATGAGTCCCTGTTTCAACAAGAGAGTGTTTTCCTAATGTACCATGATAAAAAGTTTGATTTGGGATTTGTCTAGCTTGTTAGTGCCCACATATCCTAATCACACTAATATTAGCATACATTGATCAAACTATCTCAAAATTGGCCCCTCACACTGTAAGGGTTTTGTTCGGCAATCTAGAGTAATCCATTTAGTCTGACAGATCAAGCCAGCAACCGTCAGCAGTGATCTTCTAATCCACTTAAAAGTCAATCACTCACCCACTCACCACCTCGGGTGTGTAATATAGATCTGCTTGACATTTTTGTGTGCGGAGGTCGTGTGTGGGAATTTTCACACATGAGAAATGCTTTAATGAATTTTAAGTGATTGCACAGACATCAACAACTACGCCTCTGGTGTGAATCTGCAATTGAAAAGAAAAGGTTTCAGTTAGTTTGCTTTTTATCAGTTAGTGGTTTCAGTGCTGCCTAATCATCATGCATAATCTTCACGTGTGAATGTGTCAGTCATTATGCGCGTAAGTTCAATTGTAAACAAACCCAGAATCTCGAAGCCGATCTCTTGATAGATTGTCTCCTGGTATCCTCAAGCTAATTTTGGATAGACTAAAGGTTTGCTAGTATTTTAATATGGACCTTTCATTTCTGTGATTGTGTATTTGGCCATTTAGTGTGGCAGTTAAATTGTGCTTTTCAAAATTCAGCAAAATAAATGTGTCCCCATATTAATTTGTATGGTACCGGCAGCATCTAACCACACATGTCCAAGGCTGAAATGTGTCCTAACACTGTTGTCTTTTTCCTGTTCCTGTCAGAGATCCCTGGATTCCTGTCAGAGGAGGAGTGCCGCGTGGTGGTGCAGCTGGCTCAGCTCAAGGGTCTGATGGAGAGCCAGGCGACAGCCCCTGGCCAGGGACAAGAGGGGTCAAACCAGCCACTACTTTCGCTCAGCACAGAGGAGGTCTTCAGCCTGTTGGACCTAAACCAGGATGGGCTGCTGCAGAAGCAGGAGGTAACAAAAGAGAAATATCTTGTGTCCATAATGCAGAAAATTCCATTCCTAGTAGTGAGAAATAAGATGAACTGTCAGAACGTGTTATGCTTTTTGTTGAAATAAGAAAACAACATTCTGGTCTCTTCTCCAGATTGTGAGTCACTCACGCTCTCGAGATGGAACTTGGTTGAACCCAGACAACTTGCGGCATATACTCACTGGTCTGGAAGCCTGCCCAACAGGTTAGTGGTTTGTGTGCATTTGCCCAAGTGTGTGTCAGTATACTGGGAGAAACTTGCAACTTGTGAAAATGGAATAGTCTTAATGAACTTTTAAACACTATTTTAAATGCAACTTTCTCAATTTAAAGGACATTTTTCATTGAGCTCTTTAAAACAAAGGTATCCAGAAACACAAGTAAAGTGAGAAAAATAAGCAAAGATTCAGTCCAGACATAGAGACCATTGCTGCTATTCACCTTTAATGGCTAATTAAAGTTTAACCTCATTTACAGTCAGTGGTTCAAGATGAGCTTTTCAAATTCAAATGTGTAAATACATCTGCTGGATCTTCTCCTTCTGTGTGTGTGTGTGTGTGTGTGTGTGTGTGTGTGTGTGTGTGTGTGTGTGTGTGTGTGTGTGTGTGTGTGTGTGTGTGTGTGTGTGTGTGTGTGTGTGTGTGTGTGTGTGTGTGTGTGTGTGTGTGTGTGTGTGTGTGTGTGTGTGTGTGTGTGTGTGTGTGTGTGTGTGTGTGTGTGTGTGTGTGTGTGTGTGTGTGTGTGTGTGTGTGTGTGTGTGTGTGTGTGTGTGTCTCGGGGGTCCACTGTTGTTGTGTACTGGTACTGCAAAAGTAAGTGGCTGACGGTTGGCTGTGATTGCGTGCGAGTCTTTTTTGTGAGTGGCACGGCTAGAAGAGGGGTGACACCGTTTTGACCTGATGCCATTGTGCCAGGCGTTGTACACATCCCAGTCCGGATGTGCCTCATCCTATCTCATTAAAAACTGATTGTTTGCCTGCCCCTTTTCTTAATTTCCCCCCGGATCTCCTGTATTCCACCCCCTCCTCCACACTCTTTCGTTAACCCTCCTCTCTCCCCCCTGCCTGGCCACCTCTTTACTGGCACCCCAGAGCTATTGTTGCGGCTGGGGCGCAGTCTCCCAGGGTAACTGATGGGGGTCAGACGTTCAGTCAGCTGAGAGTAACAGCATGCAGTTGCACAAAGAGGGAAGTGATGGGAGGCTGTTTAGCCAAGAATTCAAGATCAAATTATAACTGAACTGGAATCTTGATATTGCACAACTGAAAGACTGGTTTAATAATTTCACTCAATCATATCTATAGTTGTGAGGTCATATTTAACTGCTTTTATGTCCCAGGCTCCCTGCTATATGAAGGAATAAAAATAGTCTACTAAAGGATTGTGTGCGTGTGTTTGTTCCTGGCAGGGACGCTGACCTTGGATGACTTCAGGCATGTTTATGATGTGTCCCAGCGCCCAGAACAACAGCAAAGCAGGAAGCTCCGGACTCAGTTCAAACAGAGAAGCAAACATACATGGCTTTACCAAGACCCGGGATCCCACTATGTGCTGCAAACACTCAGGAACAGGTAAACACACACACACACACATGCACACATACTTGCTTGTCATGCTGTTATTAAATATTTGCATTTTGCTCTCTGATGTCTTTTGCTCAGAGTAACCAGTCTGACGCGTCTGCCTTCTTCATTGGTTGAGCTGAGCGAGCCGCTTCAGGTGATTCGCTATGAGCATGGAGATTTCAGCAATGCCCACTATGATAGCAGCCCTTCTCATTCAGAGACCACCTGCGCACACACACGACTTGCAGGAAACGCATCTGCTCTGACAGAGGTCCCTTGCAGGCATGTATTATATGCATTTTCTGTTTACTTTATAGTCAGTATACTTTGAAAGTTAGTTTAGGTAGGTGAACTGTAACGCAGTTTAGTAGTCATGTTGTTTCACAGACGACCATAATCGCTAAGCCAAGCCCCCCTTAGTTACTGTTGCTAAGTCCGACAAACTGTCGGACCTGTCGGACCTTTAGCATAGCGCTGCTACTATTACTGCACTCCCTGGAGAAACCTTGTTTAATTTCTGGAAAAAGTGATCTCAGAAAGAAGCAGACTTTTTTGTAGTTCCATTATACATTTGAAGGTTGTATTCAGTCAGTCAAACTGATGTAAAAATAAATAAATAAATAAAGACAGAAGCTAAAGCCTACCATTCACAGTGTAAATGTCAACCACCGTATTACCTGACTATTGAGAAAGAAGACAACAATACTACTAAGGATCAACACTGTTCCTGTACAGCTGGGTAGGTCTCTGTTCACTATTAAAATCATTAGCTAACTAACATTACATTAGAAACAATCCACAGCCTGCATTTTTCAGGGTTTTTTTTAGGTTTTGGAAAGGGAATAAATCGTATTTCTCCTTTCAACCTCTCTGGGTAGCAGTTGTAATTATTACAAGTTCCCCAGGAACAACGTTTGACCACATTTTGGAAAAATACAGCAAAAAAACACTAGAAAACGACTTTTGCATATGAGTCAACGGAGCACAGCCATGAAAGTGTCGGACCTCAGTTAGAGCGAGTCCTATACTGCGCTGTGATTAGCCAGTGTATTCAGGGCGTGGCTTAGCGAAAGGTCAATTATCTCCAGATTAGTTTTTCTTTTGAGCACTCTCACTTGGATAATTGTTTCAGTTTATAATCACACCATTTTTTAAAACATTCCTATTGTGAGTTTCATGATCAGTCATCAGCACCAATTTCTTTCTTGTTTTCTCACCTGTTTGCCTCATTGCTTTCAAAATATAATTTTATTGCCAAACTACTATTTATTTACTAGTTATTGCTTTAAGACGGTTATTCAAAGTGCTGGGGCATAAAACAAAATGTTTTTTTTTTCACAATCGTCTGTGTTTGTCGCTTCCTTTCTTGTTTTATCCCAGGTATCTCACCATGTTATTCTACCTCAGCTCTGTAGAGGAAGGTGGTGAGACCACCTTTCCTGTGGCAGACAACCGTACCTATGAAGAGCAGGTGAGAGTGCTTTCACAACCCGCAGTCATAACCCAGCAAAGCCTCTTTTCTCTTTTTGCCACTGTGAATTGATGATGATAACGGTACATAAGCTGAATGCTGCTGATAAGACGCAGACAGTGTTGACCCAAGACAAGGAATCTGACACCTAAATGAACACAAAGTGCCAAAATAAAAGTTCCGACACAGGCTGTTTACAGTTTTGTGTGTCCTAGGCACTGATTCAGGATGGAGTTGATTTGACAGACACCCAGGAGACATGTGGCAGAGGGAACCTGAGAATGAAACCTTCTGCTGGGACAGCTCTCCTCTGGTACAACCATCTCTCTGATGGTAGAGGTAAGAATAGAAGGCTTTCGCTGTATCATTTGCACACACACATTCACTGAGCGCTCCAGTATGTTGGTTTGGGCCCTTCTATTGTAGGAAGCAATGTACATCAAAGCCCCTGTTACTAGCTTTTAGGCCTGAATCCAGGGAGACCCAAGCATGTGAACATACTTTTTTAATCCCTTTACAGAGGTTAAAACTTATAACATGTAAGTTTTGTTCTCTGTTTGATCCCAGAATGTAACACCCACATGAATAATGTAAACAATGATGCGTGGGTGCGTGCAGTTGATATTGACTTAGTTATGTAGAGCGTGCTAACCTCGACAACCCAGCTGTATTCTAACGATAACTATATATAGTGCATGTATAGTGTATATATATTAGCTAGGCTCCTTACATGCTTGCTAATAACCTTTGAAGGCGCATCTCCAACATTGACACTAAAGTATTGGTAGATGATAGGCCTACGAACCAGTTACCAGTACTAACCTACTAAAGTTGAAGTTAAAGATGCAGTGAAGTAGAGTAGGAGTGTAAAGACGTGCAAATTCATCATGAGCAAAGTTATTGGAGGGGCAAACACTGGAGTTGGTTGAGACAGAAACTAAGCTGAGAGTTTTCTTTTAGACAGAGGTGAAGTGTTGTAGGGAGTTGCTTTGGGCAGGAAATATTTCCTGTATCGGTTCTTGTGACTGCAAAGCTGATGATGGATGGAGAGCCTGTGGGGGAACAAAACAGTCCACTCAAAGTGTTTAGCTTTTACTTTTTTCTCTCTTTTTCCATGTCTTCTGTCTTTTTTCTGTCATCGCTCGTAATTCGCTTTTCTGAAACTTATCTCATTCAATCTGTTGTGACCATCATAACCTCCTGAACTGAAATGAAATCTGACTGAAATCTCATTGGATTCAAAGAGACTAGCCTCTTTATATTAGACTCCTAAGTCAGGGATAATCTAGCTTTTTGAAGTAATATTAATATTATTAATGATGATAATAATAATAATAATAATAACAATAATTGTATTTATAGAGTGCTTTAGGCACAAAGTGCTTTCCAAGGTAAGAAGATTAAAAACATAAGCAACATAAGGGACAATTACAAGAGGGAAATAATGAATGAAGTATACTTATGGTAGGGATACATACAGTACATACATACATTTATTCATATACATGCACACATTAAAGATAAAAATTCTAAATGAATGAAATAATAAACCAATAGATTATGACCAAAGAAGTGTAGTCTGTCAGCTGTTGGGGAAAGGCTTTCTATAAAATTAAGTTTTTAGGTGAGATTTAAAAGCAGCAACAGAGTCATCTGATCAGATGCTCAGTGGAAGGCTGTTCCAGAGTTGAGGAGCCAGTACCTCTAATGGCTCAATCACCATTTGGTTTTAACCTGGACTCTAGAATAGTTACAAGACCCAGTCTGGCAGACGTGAGGGGCCTATTCAGACTGTATGGTGTAAGGAGCTCCGGCGCCAGATCATTTGTGATTTAAAAGCACTTTAAAATGGATTCCGAAGAAGGGCAACTACACTTGGTGGAAGATACTTGAAGACATTTGCCTCTTGGATGCCCTTAATTTTAACCTTCCTTTGATGTCGATGACTGAGGAATTTTAACAGACATTTTTTAAATGGATCCTAAAAGAGACTGGAAGACAACGCAATTAAGCCAAAATGGTGTGATGTGATGAGAATCACTTTGTTTAGTCTAGCTGCTGAGTTGTGAACAAGTTGGAGCTGGATTGATCCTTGTGGTATTCAGTGTTTAATCTAGGGCTGCAGCTAACAATGATTTTAGTACTTGAAGCTTCTACAGATTATTTAATCAATTCATCGATGCGTCATTTAAGTACAATTGCTTGGCTTACTTTTGATAGCCTTCAACTCATCAATCAATCATGATTTCAGTTAAATGCTAAAGTTACTGTTACCTTCTGTCTGTGGTCTGCTTCGTGGACTTGATGATAGACCATGTGCTTTCTGATCAGATGCCGTCGTGCTATTGCCGTAGGCGACATAAGTTTCGTTTTACGATGGACAGACTGTAACATTACAGAGTTTTCTTTTAGCTTGAAATAATCCCTTACTCTGGACATTTTCTACTTTGTCCCTCGCTATTTTCTCTCTTCCTCCACTTTGCAAACAGTGGTATCAAAATCACGTCGTGTTCACAGCGTAAACGTGAAGTGCGACAGTAATAAATATCTGTGCGAAACAGTATGCTATATAGTTATATGGATTAAACGAACCATCGATGCAAAGAATTTGCGTCAACGCTTTTTAGTAATCGAATTAATTGATTTAATCGATGAATCGTTTCAGCCCTAGTTTAATCTGAGCTGTTCACCAACAAACCAAAAAACAAACCCTGTTGGCTAAGTACAAGGAAAACCAATCCTAAACAGTTCCAGTAATGCCTGCCTACTGTTTTAATCTGTTAAAAGGACTGCAAGGTTGTTGCAGCACTGAGGTCAAGCAAAAGCAACACACACAACATGCACCAGAAACATCAGTAAATCAACGTCATTCTTAAGGAGGGCGGTGTCTGTGCTATGTAGCATGCAGAAGCCACATTGAGACTTCTCAAAAATAATGTTAAGTGCCTGTAGTAGCTGGTCCAGCACAACCTTTTCTAAGATTTATGAGACAAAGGTCTGTTTGGAAATTAACCAGATGTTTTTTAAGTCTCTCTGTAAACCGGGTCCCTTCAGCAGCTTGTGAACGCAAGCAGTTTTACGAAAGATCTGTTGAAATTTCAGAGGTCAGAGAGCTATTGATGGTGGTCAGCAGTGCAGGCCCTATTGTACCTAATAAAACAACGACAGCTAAACTTGTGGAGACTTGAGGGCATATAGTCATAACAACAGTGAGGGTATTTCACTTAACACACATTGTAATTTTTTGCGAGCTCTATTTTTTGAGTCCGCTCTAGCTTAGAAATAACCTTATTTTTGTTCTTCAGTCATCCAGTGTTATCTCTGAAATTTTATGAGGGCTTGTTGTTGGCATTTATCTGTATTTGTTCTCCCCTTGCCTTCCTCAGGTTGGATGGGCGAGCTAGACGAGTATTCCCTGCACGGCGACTGCCCAGTCAGGCGTGGGGTGAAGTGGGTGGCCAACAGCTGGGTAAATGTGGACCCAAACCACCAGCAGCAGGCCCGCTACCAGAGACTAGTTGCACAAAGGCATCATGCTAAGTCGGGCATGGAGGAGCATTACCAACCTCTCCCACACAGTGAACTCCACCAGGATCTATAGCCGGGCCTTTTTAATGACATGACAAAGCCACTGTAATTTTGAAACTGAGTCGCTTTTGCATCTATGAAGCCAGTGAGGCCTGGCAGACTTTTCCACAATACCAGAGGCTGTAGTCGAAATGAAAATTGCACAAAAAGCATGCCAGATATTGCATATTCACATTGACTTAATACATAAGTCAGTTTCATTATGAAAGTCGGGTGGGTTTTTATATAGAATTGTGGTGGGCAGATGCATTGATCTTCTCTCAGTTAATTTATAAGACAAATACTAAATTCAATTATAAATTAAACAGTGATTTCATTTTCTATTTAATCGCACCATAAAAGAAGATATTACATGCGGTCCTGCCTTCGATTTAGGTTAACTAAGCGTCTGTCCCTGTTGCAGGTCATTGTTATTATATTGCTGAAGAATGACAGCCTTTTGTTACAAGCCATGTCACAATATTCATCTGTGAATGTGTTCCTGAGGGATGTTTTTGTGAGACCATGTATGTCTGTTCTGTCCTTATTTTATAGTTTTGTTTCCAGAGTTTATCATGACATGTTATTTAAGAAGAACAATCACTGCAAATGCAGGACTGAACAAAATGATGGCTTGTCACACTGGCTGTGAGAGGCCAGTCCTTCAGGTGTAATTCAATGATAAACTCTTTTGTCAGTATTTTATTTTATTTTTTTTTTTTGGTGAAATTTTGAACTTTGAAACCTCATAGCTCCACACAAAATATTTAATTGTCCGGGAGTATTTATTTGAGCGTTATTTATTACCACCATTTGGTGATTCAAGTTAAAGGAATAAATATTTATTACTGCTTGGTGTTGCACTGAATATGTAGATGTATTTTATTGTATTTATTCCATGTAATGAAATATATATATATATATATATATAAAGCAATGTTTTATGAGTGGTGTTGCGATTGTGATCATTCATGCAAACCTGTTGATGTAGACCGAGTCCACTAGATGTCGCCCAACATCAAATACAGCACTACAATTTCTGTGTTAAATATGAGCTGGCACAGAAATGGTTTTGCTGCACTAGTGTCCTGTCTGCGCCAGTTCCTATGTTTTCCACTCTGTGTCAAAACGTGTAAATGATATGTTGGCGGCTCATCCTTTCTTGTGTCCAGTCATTAATAATGTGTGCAATTAAAAATCCCCATTTGATTATGGCACCTACCCCTTGAGTATGGACTTTTGCTGTAGAAAGAGAAACAATCATGCTATTGTGAGTTTTTATCCCACCACAGCCACAGTTCTAGTAGGTTAAGGTTAGGCATCCTTCATTAGTGGGAAGGGCGGTGGAGAAAGACTACAGCTAGAGGGGGCCAGAAAGTTTCATTAGGATCTATTTGTTTAGGTTAAATATGTGAGCACCAGAAATCCTAGCGCCACCACCGTGGGAGCACAGTAGCCCCACTGAAGGTGGAGAAAAATCAAAACATACACCTATTCAAAAACACTTTAAGATAACTCTAGTTGATAAAGTAACCACACATTTGTTTGGTGGAGCATCGGGCTCCCTGCACCGAAAGTTGGGAACCTCCACATGGTCCACTGCGTCTCGAGATTTGGAGCAACTACCCAGAGCAAGATGCCACCAGACAGCGCTGTGGGGCATTTTCAGTCTATTTGTGTGTTTTCAGGTCAAGGACGTATGCAGAGTAATAAACCCATACTTGTGACTCCTCATTTTGACTGAGCGCTGCTGCTGATGCTGTGCGCACCTCACTGGACCGGCCTCAGCCAATCACGTCAGCCGGCTGCGAGAGGGGGCGGGGCCAGTCGCCGTGACAGCTAACGGACAGAGGAGTAGATCACATTCTTCGTCTGCCGAACCGCTGCATCTCCCGTTCATGTTCACGGACTTCTGACTGGACTGCTTAAACAAAACATCTTCACCCTAAGGCGCAGTATAATTTTCATTTAACTGTTATCCATGAGATTCTTCAGGCTTACCTTCAAGTGCTTCGTCGACTGCTTTTGAATTTCCTTTGTCACCGGCTGAACTGACTGCGGCGCCTTGTGAAAATTTCCATCTCTTGGCTGAGCTGAGGGGTTCTAACGTGTGATATTCTTTTAAAAAAAAACTGCGATTTTTTTTCCCCCAAATTTTAAGAAGGCGAAATAACAAACTCCACAAAAACAGACAACTGGAGCACCGCATACTGTGGCTACATCACTGCCTCTCTGAGCCTTCCGGGTGCCTTGTGTTAGCCAGGCACATTTATAAAAGTTCAGCAGCCCACTGGCTAAACCATCAGCCAGCTTTTGCTTTTTGAAAAATACAATTTATTTTTGTGCCGCTACGTTACCGAACAACATGTCACCTGAGTTGGAAGAGAACAGCCAAGGTGAGTTTAACAAATGACCTCTAATGTTAGCTGGTTAATAATGACTTATGATTTAGCTAATATAACGTTACTGTGGTTCAGCATCTAAAACAACCACATGCTCATGTGTTAGAGCATCTGTTCCTCATTATTCGTTGTAGGGACAAGAGCAGCTCCAGACACGCTGCACTTCACCTGCCCCAGTCATATAATCCTCACACACTCAATATCTCAATATACACTTTACACCAGAGGTGACTCAACTGCGTAGAAGTCATTTGAAGCTCAATATGGTGCTGAACAGGTGTCACGCATGGTGAATACAGAAGGTACTCATTCCCCAGGCAAATTATTGTCAAGTTTTTACGTCAGTATTACGAGAGCATCAATCAGCTTGGTAAGGCTTACCCTGCTTGTAACACTAAGTGACTCACATGCATATATCAGTCTGTTTCCAAAGGACAGCTTAGTATTTGGGGTTATATTCTTGACACAGACCCCATCTACGCAGAAGCACAATAGTTTGTTTTATTGTCTTAACCTAACAAGTGATCTATTTTGATTCACTTTAAATCACCACATACTGTGTGTAGCTATTGCTCATTTGCTCACTCTAATTCTCTCAAACCACAGGTATCATCTTATTAAGTTGCCCTATAGATGCGGACAGCCCTTACCTTCCCCACTCTTATTCCCCCTCCTATGTTCAGACACCCCCTCAAACTGCTCTGATCTGGATTCAGCTGCCTTGCTTTGCATCCAGCACAGAGCAGGCTGACTGGTATCATGGAACGGCACTAATGAAGTGGCACGTTGCTGCTTTTTATTTTTGCGTTTGGGTTATCTGCATGCATTCGTTCAGCATGTGGGAAAGAGAGAAATGAAAGCTCTGCGAGCGACAGAGGAGCTCCAAACATATGCCTTGAATTGGCTCTCTGCTGTGTTGTACTGCAGCACGCGCATCTCTCGGTCTGTGAGACAGAGACAGAGAAAATGAACACCGGGGGAGGGCTCAATGATGACAAGACAACTGCAACACGAATTTAGCACAAATACAAATTGTGTAAGGGCAGTTCACCCTAGTGGATGTATATGGTGAGATGTACGTCAGCCCTGTTACAGCTTAGTGGAGTACTGACATTTTATTGCAATTAATGGAAAACATGCAGTATCCCTATTCCATTCAGTGCAAGTCTGGCCCAAGAGACTGTAGTTTATCTGCCTCCAGTGCTAACATGTGATGTGAAGTTGTGAATGTGTGTATTTTAGATATGAGTAGTGTGAGAATGTTGTCTTATTTTATTAGTGTTACTACATACTGATTCCTACTGTCTTATCTGTTCCCATTTGTACTCCTCCTTGTCTGCTACCTTCTTCTATTCTTCTTTCTCCTCTGACCCATGTACGTCTTCTCTTAACCAGGTGAAATCACTCTCCCGCAGTTGGAGGCAGGGACCCTGTCCGAGGAGGAGGGCAGCGGGTCAGCTCGCCCCCTGGTACCTGTGCCTGGAGCTGGCCCAGGGTGTGGTGAGGGCGGAGGGATTGGCCCGCCGCAGACCCAGGACGGGGCCGCGGCCGGGACAGGAAATGGGGCTTTAGCAGTACCAGCGGTGGAGAGAGAGACCTGGACCAGACAGATGGACTTCATCATGTCCTGTGTGGGTTTTGCTGTCGGCTTGGGCAACGTGTGGCGGTTCCCGTATCTCTGCTACAAGAACGGAGGAGGTGAGCTTCAGGAGCGTTGTTTAGTTTATGTAGGTCTCTGTGTGGTACCTCCACACAAAAGAACACAGTTGCAACAAACATATGAGTATTACTTTAAAATCTCTTAGGCCTGTTTTAGTACTAGTAAGGATATTAAAGGGTGGTATTTTGTTCAAAACTGCAGAGGACTTCAAAATGTACCTCATATTAAGTTCCAAGTTCATCTTGTGTTACATTCCTTTTGTGCACTAACTCATCATTCATTCATATAGTGAAACTTAATAATTCACTTTCCTCCATGTTGGGAGATGAAGTCATGGCTTTGCAGGGTGAACAAAAGGGTGCTTAACACACAGAGGGTCACCTGGAGGAGGTGTGTCACAAACACTGCATCAATAAACATTTAGGAAGCTTACAAACAAGTCCATGGACAACCTCTCCTGACCGTCAAGCCCTGAATGCTGAGCTGAATTCAACAACAGTCATTTTGACTTCTTCCGCACTCTTGAAATATAATGAAAAATCATTTATAAGTTAGAATTGTTAAAAAAGTTTGTTTTATCAGAATACAATACATTTTCAAAAAGAAAATCTAGATTTAGATGGTGCAGAGAAGTTTCTTTAACTAAAGAATCATCCAGGTTTGGCAATTTGTAAAAGTTTTGATAAACTCCTAATAATCTCCTGACAGTTTGTAGGACAACAGTGAAAGGCAGCATGGCAAGACATAATACAATAATAGACAAAGCAGGGCCTGCGTGTCTGTGAGCACGTAGCTCAAAAGCTGTGCCCACCCATGTGGTTTCGCTTTATTTATTATAGCCACAAGTTGCTTAATAGATGGACTTAGTACAAGTATCCCTATTCCCGCTACTCTTTCACTTGCATGTAAGGTTATTTCCGGTATCCTCTCCATGTTCATAAATGCCAACTTGTCAAATAGTAACCTGCCCCAACTGCAGCTTTTGGCCCTGACTTCTCTTATCTCTGCCCTGCCTACTTTTCTATTTATCTTTTTTTATGAGGCGTTTTATTTAAGTGAAACTGAGTGTGTTTGTGTGTGTGTGTGTGTGTGTGTGTGTCTTAGTCCAGCCCCCCCCCCCCCCTCTCCATGTGTGGGTCTTGTGACCCGTGGCTCTGATACCCACCTTCTGGTATCGTATAACAATGGCCTGCCTCACACAGTACACCCCCACTGTGCTCCAGCTCAGCACTCATGTAGCAATACAAAGGTGTTCTCTCCCCCTCTTCTCCTGATAAGGAGGCACGGATATGTCACACAGTAACCGTCCTGTGACTGCGCCCGTCCTTCCCTCCGCTCAGAGTCAGCACAGCCATGTCCGCTACATTACTTCATTTTACACCTTTGACGGAGCCACCTTTTAACACAACAACCGTATCAGATAAGGGCTGGGGCTCTTAGTCAGACGTGCTTGTTAGTAAAACAAGAGACACACTCCTCTGGAGACAGTAATAGGTGGATGTACTAGAAATGCTCTGTAAATCTCATTTATTTGTAACCCAGTTGCTAGGCCTGATGTGTCTGGTCCAGAGAGGATTTACTTAAGCCCATTAAGGACACGGTTCCTCAATGATTTGGCCAATATGTCCGCACATGCATTCATTCCATTCCCGCCTCTTATTGCATCCCTCTCCCTCTCTATCTCTCGCACTGTCTCTCTCACTCTCCCAGCGCTTTCACTGTTAGACTCACACTCATGAATGTTTCCTTATAAGGTGACAGCCCTCTGCTGAATGAAGAATGACGGACTGAATGAGGCACAAATTGTCAATCAATAGCACTGTAGCAGAGCCAACCAGGTTGATGCCTTGGTGTGTCATTTTTGGATTTGTTGAACCTTCTCTACCACAGCGTTGTCCCAGTTTTTCAGCCTCCCTCTCCTGTGACGTATCCATCTTTCCCTCCTTTCTTCTTTGCCTCTCTCTACTCTGCGTCATAGCTGATCATGTGACTCGCTCCCATCTGCGCACTGTGGTGGCATCACCCATTTATGTTTTTATTCAAACCAAATCGTTTTAATTAGATTAAGTGAGTTAAATGTCTTATGCTGCATTTATATATTTATATATCTCCTGTGTATTCCTCATTACAGCAAGCTTCTCCTACAGTATGAGAATCCAAATGGAGATTGTTTATACAGGGTACAAAAACCAAAACTGCCCTGGGCCAACTACTACTAATCAAAGTCCAAACATGTCCTCTATCAGGATAATAACTGCTGGGGTCTATTGTCTATTGTCGTTTTCCTGTCTCCAGTTGAGAGTCCTTCGTCTGCCCTCTCTCCTTGTAGCTTTCAAGGACAGTAGGCGACTTACCAAAACTGTCCAAACACTTGTGGAATTGGAAATGACTGTGATCTCCCACATACACTTTCAATGCATCTGTGGCCTTGTCTGTCCTCGTCCCTGGCTTTCAGTCTTTTGCCCTTTACAGCTTCCTTCTTCTCTCGACTGTTTCTTACTGGTTCAAGGGTTTGATTAGTGAGAGCTGTTCCGGTGTTTGCGCAGTTTGTGTCCTTAAAAACTAAACATGACTTTTCCCCTTAGATTTTTACCTCAGAGTAAAGTGTTGCTACTTTTTTGCCAAGAGCAAGGCATGCTCAATGAGCCTGGTTCTACTAGTTAAGCTATTAAGAAACTCACCATTGATTTGAATATGAATAGCATAATGTGATGATAATGAAATAATTATATCAAGTCTTGAAGATGTTGACGATAATTACTTTGATTATCATGTGATGTTTCTACACTTTAAATACGCTAAAAATAATCAACAAATCCATTCCATTATGAAGGGTGTGATCTAATTACCATGATCAATCTCCAAAAAAATGGAAAATGTTATGATGCTTGTAATCATAATTTCAATCCAAAATCATGTTACTATTGGAATGTTTTGTAGGCAAGGGGTTTAATTAAGTCTCTCTGACCATGTAATGGCAATGTCACTGGTTCGAGACCTTTGTTGCATACTTAACTACTACTTAATATTTGCTACTAACTTCTGCTTAACTGTTAGCACAGGGGTCTGCCTATGCAGTTGACATTTTAATTAGTGACATATACTAAAAGCACGCTTGTCCAGCAGATGCACTTTTGTAGTGCATAACAATGGAGTCTCAGAACAACTAAGCTAACATTAGCTAGCATTAACTAACTTTGCTGTCCATTTCATCCTCCAACTGCAGTTTGAAGCGTCAAGAATCCCAAATATGTGTTGCTGTAGTAATATATTTCCTGTTAGATATCCAATGCTTTACTTTGGAACAGAGGTGATCAGCGTTTTTGAGTTATAATTATTTGGCCAATCAGTACAAAGCCTTTTTCCCAGTGCCTTTCTACCTGCCTGTAAATTCAGATAACATGATGATGATAAATGTACACGTTGATGGATATGTGTGTTGTGTGTTGCAGGGGTTTTCCTGATCCCCTACTTGCTGATTGTGTTCATCGGAGGCATTCCAGTCTTCTTCCTGGAGATTGCGCTTGGACAGTTCATGAAGCAGGGAGGGGTCTCTGCCTGGAACATCGCACCCCTCTTTAAAGGTACCTATCTTTGTTTATGTCAGCGTGTCTGACACACCGAGAACACATTTAGATTTCTCTGAAGGAGGTATTTTAATGCTGTTAATCACTCACTCCCTGTCAGGTCTGGGCTTGGCCTCAATGGTGATAGTGTTCTTCTGTAACACCTACTACATCATGATTCTGGTGTGGGGCCTCTACTTTCTCTTCCACTCCTTCACCAACAAACTGCCCTGGGCCACCTGTGGACACCCCTGGAACACCCCTAACTGTACACTGGACTTCCGCCGCGCCTGCCATAACCGCAGTGCTCCCCAGCCGGCTTTGCCATCATCCTCTGCCACCCCTTCCAACTTCCTATCCTCCACGCCCCCGGTGAACCTGTCTTCAGCTCAGCTCCTCTTCAACGGCAGCTGCACAGAGACTGAGGGCATGCGCTCTCCAGTCATCGAGTTCTGGGAGTAGGTCATACCTTATCTGGGAATTGTCATGGAGGAGTTGGGCACCGTGTCAGCAGTCTTAAAAAAATACATTTTACTATCTAAATTCAAGTCTTAACAATCCACTGTGTATGTGAACTAAGTACCCAGCGTTTCCAGTAATGCTGAACTTTATTCTGATCATTTAGATGTTTTTACAAAATGGTTTTGTATGTATGCATTTCATTTTTCTGGCATTTACAAGGCCTATAAAGCCTTATTTGACTTTCAAAATATATTTAAAGTTGCAGTCACCCTGTTGAAGGTATTCACTTATTTACATTATCTTTGACTCTGTCTGGCTTGTTCGGAAACTTTTTTTATTTCTGTCTAATGGATGCCCCTTTGTGTTCTGTGTCTTCCTAGACGTAAAGTTCTCCGTCTGTCTGGTGGGCTGCACGAGCCTGGGGACATCAGCTATGAGTTGGTGCTGTGTCTCATAGCAACCTGGGTCATTGTTTACTTCTGCATGTGGAAAGGAGTTAAATCTACTGGCAAGGTAAAGTGTTTTCTGACTACACAATTTATGATTCCCAATGTTTCATGTCACTGTTTGGATTTATGGAGTGCAGATTAACATTTATGGCTTAATACGTTTACTGTATGAGAAACGTCGCATGCCTCTGCCAGGGGTTATGGAGTGCAGACTAATATTTTGCATGGCTTCATGCAGAGTCTTTTGCCCTTTGACCCCAAATCAGCTTTGGTATAGTGAGGAGATCAGTGTCTAGACTGAAACACATGTATGAACACAAATTTAACCACACACGTGTTCTTTGAATTTCTGTTAATCTGTGTAGTTGCACTTTTTCCTGTTTTCTCATGTGTAATTATGTATATATGCAGCTTAAAGGTTCAGTAAGGCTATAATCTTCCACTGAGCCGTAGATCCCTATTATGTTATACTCTACATACACATTGTTGTGTGACTTCCATTTAGTAGTTTTAAAAAAAAAGATTCCCTCTCCTCATTGGTTTAAATGTGTGTGATCTCATATATTGGCATAATGAATGCATCCTTATTTTTTGTAGTACATGGAGATGTCTGTGTTTGCATACTTGTGTCTCCAGAGTAGCCAAAGCTCATAGGGCGAGGGGAAAAAAAGATTGAAGGAGATTGAGCCGGCCAGCCAGCTGTAAGCCGATTAGTAACTTTCCACCATGTCGATGTTTGAGAGCTGTAAAGGGGCTTTTCTGCCCATGTTCACCCTAGATCAAGGCAAATATGTGCTTTCTCACTACTTTGCTCGTACCGTACTGATTTTAGCTAGGACTTGATGCTTCTAATAGGTAGCAGGGGGTGGCTTTCTCAGCATATCTTGACAAAGACTACCTTCTGAAAAGGTCTGCCAAAAACCCCTGCTATTGCAGGAGGTTTACAAATTGTCTGGCTTTCCATTTACAGGCTACCTTTTCTTCAAAGTAACATGACAGGGCCCATTACACATCTACTACAGGAAGGACCTAATGGGCTTCTACTTAAGACTTGAGTATTTGCAAAGCAGGTAATTGCTTAATCAAAGTGATAAAAACATTTTCAGGTGCAGTTACATTGAAAACATTTGACCATAGCTGATGGACCATGTTTATAAGCACTAAGCGTTTTCAGCTAGCCTGTTAAATTCATCATATAATAACTACATCTTTTTATGTACTTACTACATGTAATGTGAGGAGTTTAAATGTTTTAAGGGTTTACTGTGGAGTTTTCTATTTTTCACTTAATGCAAGTTCTAATGCATAGCACTCAGACTTCACCTCCCGAACCCCAATTATATCTTACATATTGGTCCCACAGTATCTAGAAGTGTACTTCACAGCTCTCTTTTTCCCATCTTTCTGTAGGTTGTGTACTTCACAGCTCTGTTCCCCTACCTGGTTCTGGTCGTTCTTTTGGCCCACGGAGTCACTCTACCTGGAGCAATAGATGGGATTGTTTACTACCTGAAACCAGACTGGTCCAAACTTGGAGAAGCACAGGTGTAACTTTTGCATGAGCTGCACATTTGTTTGTAGCAGTGTAGTGACAAGAACATATGACAGCAACATCTAAGAAACATAGGAATACAGATTGTGAAACATTACTCAAACTATTCCGTTTGTGATAGGTGTGGATTGATGCCGGCACTCAGATTTTCTTCTCCTATGCCATCGGACTGGGCGCCCTGACTGCGCTGGGCAGCTACAACCGCTTCCATAACAACTGTTACCAGTAAGTTTGTACACAGCACAAAATCAGACGCTGTCGCTGGAAGGAGGCCAACATCAACATCAACACAAACACCATTAGTCAGACTCTGCATACTGCTGCATGTGACTTGATTACTAGTATCAAACAAACCAGGAAAAAAATTTTTCCAGTAGAATTAGGCTTTGTTCACTACAGACACTCCAGCAGAAAACATACCAAAACACCAGTTCACTCCTAAAAAAACACTCTCTTAATTGAATAAATGTCACATTGTATGGTCTGTTCAGTTCTCTGGCCGCTGGAACAACCGACTAGACTAGACACTGTCCGAGCGTGCCTGGAATTATGATTAAGGCCCAAAAACTTCTAACATTCTCACATTTCAGGAGTCATTTCCCCTCCCTGATCAAAATAGAAACAAACACGTTACCATGAAGAATCATAGCAGTGTCCTCAAGCCCTGAATATGTAACAAGCTCAATTTTATTTTCAGGCTATGATTCGATTATGCTTTTTGAATGGCTGTAGAAATAAACTATTGAATGTCAGTGAGGCCGTTAATAAAAATTAGAGTGCAGACCTGAGCTACACTGTCTGCTTCTCGCAACAACTGGCCTCACTATTGCTCCTTTTGTAGGCTGGTTGATAAGCTTGCAAGTGTTTCCTGCAGCAGACAGATATGTAAACACATCAAGACCCGTATGAGGTTGTTAGCTCCATAGTAGTAACAGGGATCTCTTCTTTTTTTCGTTTTTTTTTTATATCTCAGAACCTGCTTGCATGTTTAGAATGTCCATAACAGGAGGAACCTCATGAATATCCTGTCATCTGACATTTTCTCTGCCTTGACCTTAATTGGTAGTTGAAAGATGAGTTCAGATCCTGAGGTATGTCAGCCCAGCTTGGTTTCTCACACACACTTTGAATATCCCTGGGAGAAATGTTTAAATAAACTGCTCACAGATGCCACTGTATAGTACATTTTGGGCTCAGGACTGTTTTGGAGCTCGTTCAATTGCTTCCAAACCACATAGCTTGACTTCATATGTCTTTTTTAGCCACGCTGGTGGCGTAGCTGAAGGGATCACAATGTCAGTCTGTTCACATTTTGGTTGAATTGTGAAATACCTTGAACCACTGGATAGATTGCCATGAATTTTGATACATTAGCGGTCTTCACATGACTAATGCTAATGGGGCGTGCGAATGTGCCAACATTAGCCAGTGTTTAGCTGGGCATTACATACTAAACCTGGTCAGGTGAGAAAGAAGCCAGGCATTAAACCTCTTCTGTTCTCTTTTTTTCATTCTTGGTACAACTATTTATCACTCTTTTTCCTGCTGACAACCGATGCTTCACTATGAATGCCTTCTAGGAGAGGCTGTCTGAAAATGTGCACCGTTATTCTCATATTTAAACAATATCGCATCTCCCTGAGCAGCCTAAGCACTTTTGACTTCTGACGTGCTCTGACAACACGTCGTACAAACCACTTTCTAGTGTAACCTGGCCCTTAGTCTGATGAAAGGTGAGCCAGGTCTGGCAGAGTAGAGGTGAGCCTGACAAGCTGAGTCGGAAGCGTCCTAAAATTACCATTCTAAACTCTTTTGACTTATGTAACACCCCTAATACCCTAATGCAAAATTTAAAATGTTTGCATCACTAGTGGTAAGCTTCGACAGCAAGTGTAAAGTTGTATCCATCCAACAACTTTGTTTTCTGCTTTGTAATGAGGATTAAAGTCTCTTTGGTCTTGCTTAATGTGTTCTTGATATGGACTCCTTTCTTAACCCAGTCACTCGCGCTTGTTTTGATCATCCACATCCATAAACATTCCTCAGAGCAGCGTTTCAGACTGAGCAGAGGTTGCTTCTGAACACAGCTGCAACAGTGTTATAAAAACCATCATGTTGCAACTGTTGTTTATTCATTGTTCATATCGGGAAGGATTCTTGGTCTGTGTTGCCAGCTAGACTCGATAAACAGAAGGTTATTCCTCACTATGTAGACCAGAAAACGGGGATGTTGTTGATGTCACACTTAAATGAGAATATGTACAACATAATTTATTTATACATGCCTGCATTATTATAATGTTGGATATAATTATATATATGTAGCGAGTAGTCAACATGGGTTTTCCTTTCACTCTTTCCTCTCTCAGACCTTGAGACAGACTTCCCATTGGCGTGTTTCTCTCTGCTCTCTACCTGCCAACTACAAAGACAACAGCAGCTTTCAGAGAAATTGTTATTGATCCCCCATTCACCATCCCAGCCCATCTCTTCTGTTGCCAGTGTTTGTCTTGAGTACCTTACGTGAGCCTCCTGTTACAGCATATTATAATGCATCTTTTTTCTCACAAACTCATTCTCTCTGTTCTCTGTCCCCTCTTTTTTCTCTATTCCTCTTTCTGGTTCTCTGTAGGGATGCATTCTTGCTGGCCCTCATTAACAGTGGAACCAGTTTCTTTGCAGGCTTTGTGGTGTTCTCTGTGCTGGGCTTTATGGCTGCAGAGCAAGGCGTGGACATCAGTAAGGTAGCTGAGAGTGGTAAGAATACAGCATCCCCCTGAATTGGCTTCCTAAAGCCTAGTGCAATATAGTATATAGTATTGACACTATGCAATCAATAATAATATTTATCAATATATATATATATCAAAATACATCTCACAAAGGGCTTTGCAAGGGCAAATAAATACAACACACAGTTGTAAAAGCATCAGGTTTTAAACAAAAACGTATAAAAACAAGAATAAAACGTTACAGTTTAAAGGAAAATTAAAGTCAAATATGATCAGGAAAGGCTCTTCGCTAAGGCTTTTCAGAAGGGACTTAAAGAGGTTCACTGACTCAGCCAACCCGATTTCCTCACACAGGCTGATCCAGAAGACCCGGGGCCCTGACTGCAAATGCTCTGTCCCCTTTAGTATCTAGCTGGGCCTCTATAGACAACAGGCGTCTGTGTGTATGGAACTAAAAGGTCAGATATATAGCAAGGAGAAAGGCAATGAAAACCCTTAAAGGTAATCAGTACATTTTTTAAATCTATTCCTAAACATACTTGGAGCCAGTGTAAAGAGACTAAAACAGGAGCGTGATGTGATCACGTTTCTTTGTTCTGGTTAAAAGCCTGGCAGCTGAGTTCCGTACAGTCTGGAGTCGATCAATACATTTATTTTGGTTCAAGCAAGTAAAAAGGCTGTTATAGTAATCTAGGCGTGGTGCGTTGATGGCATGTTAAATGATCTCAGTGTTTAAAATATAAGATACATCTTATTTTTTACATATTTCTAAGATGATAAAAACACAATTGCACAATATTTGTGGTGTGGTGCTCCAAACTTAAATTGCTGTCAAAGCAGAAGCCAAGATTTCTTACAACAGGCGTGATAGTGCTAATGCTAACGTATGATAACGTCTCTGCTCTGCTCTGCTTCTGACTCTTTTTCTTAATGTGCAGGTCCAGGCCTGGCCTTTATAGCCTACCCCAAGGCTGTGACTCTGATGCCTCTGGCGCCACTCTGGGCAGCACTTTTCTTTTTTATGTTGCTCATACTGGGCTTGGACAGCCAGGTAATGAACGGATTACTGACACATTTGAGTTTGTTTGTTTATATACACTTGAGAAAGCAATTACTTTAGGGAACAATATGCTACTGTCAGGTATGACTTGCTTCTTTCAAAATGTTTAGCCCTTTATGTAGAATAAATAGCTAATCCTCATCTTGTTCTCTCTTTCTCTCTCACTTCCTCTCACACAAGTGCGACACAAACAGTTGAGACACACATTTTAGCATTGCATTTCTCCGCAGCCTGTTTGTTGTGTCTGTTTGAGCCAGTGCCTACATCCATTGTTTTACAGCCCAGGGATTTGTCAATGAGCTTCTGTCTGATTCACACAGAGAGCGTCTGTCTCCCCTCCAATCCATTCATTTACTCTCAATTTCCATTCTCTTCCTTATTTCTTCTCCATCCATCTCTCTCTTTTTTACTGTCATAGCCACATTGGCCGTGCATATGCTGCCGTTTCTAGTAAATGGTGTAAAAATAGCCACACAGCTGTTGTCCTCTCATCTCATTCCGCAGGTCGAAATATGTCTCTGCGAAGATACACGTAAACATTCTTTTATAGGGAGACCGAGGAAAGGTGTCTGAGACGACATGCTCACCTGCAAAATCTTAATTACATGTCATGCAGAGTGGTAGTGGGGTCGGCAGCTAACCCTGATGTAGAACAAATAACCAAGCAGTTTCATTTGACGTATTCCACTTCTCATTTTAGTTTATTCACGCGTTTTTCCGGGTTGAAAACTGTTTTCAGTTTCTGTGTGTATTTGATATTTTTTGTTTACTATAACAAACACAGTCAACTAGTGAACACATTAAGGTTACATGCACATTCACAGAGTCAGAAGCATGTTTCAGATTGAATTCCACGCCCTCACTCTGCCTCTTTCTCTCTCACTCACTTTTCCCCCTTTCTCATTTTCCCTGCTGTCTCTACTCCCTTTTTTTTAGTTCGTAGGGGTAGAGGGATTGATAACGGGAATCATGGACATGCTACCCCCTAAATCTGCACTGGGCTCCTTGCGGCGAGAGGTGGTAGCGGCCATCTGCTGCGTCATCTGCTTTCTCATCGACATGTCTATGGTCACTGAGGTACGGTGAGGATTTCCTGGAGTTTGATATTCTTAAGAATTAGGTGGGAGGCTGGCAGATTATTACACAACAAATGGCGACGCCATTGAGAAACTAGAAAAAAGCCCTTTTTACCTGAAATTATTTTAATGTTTATATAAAATACATAGATTGTGTACTTACAACTTAACTGGCCACAGGGAAACATTGCCAGGAATGAACTGGGATGAAAGCCCTAAACAGTGGTCACACGTAGAGTATTAACAGGGTGGTCTTGACGCTGACTGCTCTCTCTGTTTCCGTCAGGGAGGGATGTATGTCTTCCAGCTGTTTGACTACTACTCTGCCAGTGGCATCACTCTGCTGTGGCAGGCCTTCTGGGAGTGTGTGGTGATCGCGTGGGTCTACGGTGAGACAATGCCACGTAACTACAAGACAAACAACACAAACCGTACAATTCAGTGCATTATCATGGCCTCCTTTTGTTGTTTCTCTCAGGCGCAGACCGTTTCATGGACGATGTGGCTCGTATGATCGGCTATCAGCCCCTACCCTACATGAAGTGGTGCTGGTCTTACATCACACCTTTTGTCTGCGTTGTAAGTGCTGCTCTGTCAGTTTTCTCTGTACGGTTTAGCCAGATGCAAACAGCTGCCATTTCTTTGTGCATATAGGCGGTGTTCCTGTTCCACGTGGTGAACTACAAGCCCCTGACCTACAACACAGTGTACACTTACCCCTTGTGGGGTGAATTGCTTGGCTGGGCACTGGCCCTGTCCTCCATGCTCTGTATCCCTCTTACCGTTCTCTGCAAACTACTGCGCTGCAAAGGATCTTTGCGGGAGGTGAGTACACCTGGGTGCAGGTGCATGGTCGAACATATTCTCTTGTGCGTGTTTATCAGTAGAAACGTATCTCCTTGGATACCACTCTCCCCCTCCTATCTGTTATTTGGTCTGTTGATTTTTTCATTACTCATTAGAGAAAACTGAAGGCAATAAACTGCTCATCATGTCTGTGCCCTTGTCTTACTCCATGTAGCGGTGGCAACACCTAACCACACCAGTTTGGGGCAGACATCACCTGGAGTACCTGGCCCCGGAGAGCGAGGCCAAACTGCTGCCCCCTGCAGGAACCAAGAGCACGCTGCTCTTTGAAAGTGTCATCTGATGAGCCGAGCCCTGCAGAACACATAGCCAAGGTCGCCCCTTGACATCAGCACACACAAACTACACAAAATATACACACTACACAGGCCTGGTAAGAGAAAAGCGCAGATTTTAAAGCTACGGAAAAAAGCCCTGGACCAATGGACCAAAGATTAGATGGGAGAATAACTGAAACACACCCATACGTTCATCACATGCTGATATACCCTCTCCTCTGCTTCCTGACTCTACCTCGCTGACTCTCTCCTCCCCTCCCCTCCCACGCCCCCCGCCTTGGTGTTGTCCCGTCTCGTCTGTGAATGCAATGTGTCCAGTGTAGCCTTGATATCTTTCCTTTTCTGTGCTTGTCTGTCAGAGCCTTGTCCATCCCAACATGTCAAGTTGTTTTGTGCTGAATGAGTAGGAACTAAAAAAAAAAAAAAGAATTCTAAATGAAAAAAATCATATCTGCTGCTGATATGCCATGGTTTGAATGTGTGTGTTTTTGTGTGTGTAGATGCACTGTACCTGTGTGGGCGCGTGCATGTGTTTGGAAGAAATTGTGGTGTCTTCATTTATATGTAAATTTGCCTCTGACCGTTGTTTTCTGCCGACTGTATTCCCGTAATTAATTGTACAAAAATAACTTCCATTTGTAAAAAAGAAAAATCATAAAGAGACAACACATCACCACTTCCAGTTGTGTATTATGAACTAACTTAAGTATCTAGTGTATTGTAGGGTCTGTGAATCAGTGTTAACAATATTTGGAGGGGATGGAGATCAGTATTTCCACCTTAAGAGAAAGAGAGAGACTTTAGATTGAATTGTGCAAAGAGCAGGAGACCGGGTCATGGGGAGGGGAAAGAGACTTGATGCCATGTCAGGAAAGAAGCAATAAATGACCAGATAAAGACGGACAGTGTGGTTTTGTTTTTAATTACATGGTGTCATTCATACGTTGTTCATAAAACACCCCCAGAAATTTACAAATAAGTATTCTGGTTCAGTCTCCTGAAATATGTCACAACTTCATTCCTGTATAAAAAATAAACTCACAAGATACTAAAACATTTCACAGACAACTGAAAGATCAGTCAGGTAGAACAGGGTGAGTGATAAGCACTCATAAGGAAATATGTGTTCTGTAATATACAACACATGACATTGTTTGCTCTGGTGTGGTTAATCCAAGAAACCAATAATTCCACGATCCCTGAGGCACGTATCAGTGTGTTGATCATCAACCCACTAAAAGTCGCCTGAGAAACACTCAACACTTAAACATTCTGTGTTCAAATAGCCATTTCCCACATACATTTGTGAGTTAAAAAAAACACGTTTTATAGCTGGGAACAATTATCTTTGGGTAGGCTATCCAAATCAATTCAATACATAGGGAACTTATAACCTATATTACAATACAGTTTAGCTACTGACGGTCATGATAGCAAATGTTAACATGACACTGAATCCTGAAAATAGAGGGGAGCTTGAGACGTCAGAGGTATCAGATGTGTTAATACTGACTGTAAATACGCCCACGTTGTTTTTAGAAGCTGCTGCTCTTTTTAAACGTAACACCTATTACGCCATATCTGCAATTCAGCTCATTCTTGCAGGCCTTTGAAGCAAATGAGTGGTAATGTTTGATTGAGATCCCCTCCCAGAGGGAATGGCCTGACATTTGGATTTCCTTTTCTAAAAAGAACAGTAGGGTCTACTGCTATGGCTCAAGAATAAAGATTGACAGACATATAGACATACAGATTGCATACTGTGGCTCGCCTGGTCATAGTTTCCCCTTACAGTCAACCTTTCACTCACTCTCTGCTCTCTCGCTCAGGCTATAAATACAGACTCCTATTAGTCCAGTGTTACATTCTCCCACTCAACCCCCGCCCCTCCTCTGTCTCTCACACACACAACATGGAGAGGGAGAGCTGCAGTGACGTATTGCTGGCTATTTCATTAGACGATATCATAAAAAGCCTGTTGCCACAGCAACGGCTCCCTGTATTTCCATGGTAACCGGCTGCCATGTCAAGGTGGTGCATCCTCCCCCACTGAAAGGGGGTGGAGACACTGAGGTCCAATGGTGAGCGATGGAACAGAAGAGGAGGAGGAAGATGGCCAGAGTTGGAACAGTCTGACTCCTGCTGGTTACATCCAAGTGTTGCAGGACACATCCTGGAGGAATCAGGGTGGTTTAGGGGCTGAGTTGTAGGAACATTTCAGGATATTACAGCAATGAATAAGTAAAGCTGAGAGAGCTTGGAAGTGTCATTAATGTTCATAGTGATGAACTCACATGTACAAAGTCTGTCTGCCCCAGTTTGTTGAGAATATGAAGCACTGCGTCGTGAACGGTGACAAACAGCCTGCTCTTTGGGATGGACTCTGAGAAGAAACCTGCAGTTTCCAGCTGCTCCACGACACACGCTAAAATTTGACCACACACACACACAAACAGAAAAGCATGCATGACAATGAGCACCCCTTATGAATGCATGAGACAAAAATCATTTTGTGATCATAGATATAAATATAATAATAATGGCGCCACTGAGGCTGAGATCTTGACGCGTTCAGAATCTAAAGCTTCACTGCTTTGAGTCTACATTAAGGACGTTAACTTCTCTGGCCATCTCTGTTTTGTCTGGTGTGCCACTCACCTTGGCAGCCTGCGAGATAGATGTCCAAATCAATCTCTCCAAAGTCCCTGAATATCTGGGAAGAAAGGACAGATAATCACTTTATTTTTGTTTTCTTTTAAAAATGTAGATGAACATTGCTCATCGATGCTCATCACTTATTTACTCACTTATTAACAGTGTTGGGAAGGTTTCAAATGTACTAGGTTACTGATTACAAGTTACCCTATTTAAAAAGTAATAGTTGTGTAATTTTCAATTACTTTATCAAAGTAATGTAACTTATTACATTTAATTACTTTTTGATTACTTTTCTCATTTCTAATAAATCTTTTCAACTGTTAACTATTTTTAAAAGAAAGCTTTAGAGGCAATTTCACAGGCAGACGGGTGGAGCTGCAAATTCAAACATGAGAACCAATCAAAAGCATCAGAATAGCATCAAACTTTGCTAAATGGCTGTGGCTGGAAATGGTAAAGGAAAACATTGTGCACATGAAAAACATATAAAATGAATATCATTCAACATATAGCCAAGCTTTTTACAGAAAATCTTTAGATGTAACCGCCAATGTAATCATGAACACTTTCAAGTAATTTAATTGCACGTTTTTTCCCAGTAACGGTAATCAGTTACATTTATTTTAAAATTAAATTATTGTTGTTACTAAATTACTAAAAACAAAGCACACTGATCCTAGCACACATACATTTTTCAAGGTGTTCACAGTGACTGTGTCCACAAAGCTGGTTGTTGAAATGTCCAAAATGATGCTGTGCGTGCCTGATCCACAGGCCCTTCCCTTTTCCTCTTCACCGTGTGATACATGGGTGATGCTGTCCTCACCGTGGCAGCCCGTGTCTGAGTCTGAGTCTAACATGACTGCATCATGTTGGTAAGCCCAGTTTACTTGGCCTTTACTACCTCTAGAGGTTTCTGTCAGGCTTACACCATTCTCCTGTCCCTTCAGCCCTGCAAAAACTTTCCCCTTGTTCATCTCTGACTCCTTCAAAGAGAATGTGCCGTTGGACAGGTGGCTGGCTGCTTTTTTCTGCCAAAAGGTTGAAAAACGTGGAAATAACTGTTAGTGACTTATAAGTTCAAATCCATTTGTGTAACTTGAGGTATCTAAATGTTTAGGATACCATACTTGTTTCTTTGCCTCCTTTTTAGCTTTCTTTTTCTCTCTCTCTTGTTTACGCTTCATCTTTGAGTCCCGTTTCTTCTTTTCCGTCAGCAGCTTCCGGATTTCAATTCCACTCTGCACAAAAAGCCGAAGCATCACATTAGCGAACAGAAAGTGAGACGAGTGAGAGTAATAATGAAAGCAATTAAGGGTGCTGTGTCATCAAACACACGTCTGCACTCATAGACACACATACACGCACTTTCTCTTGCAGGGCCTCCATGTACAACTCAGCATTTGTATAGTAGATAGTTGTAGATGAATGGAAGATTTTAATTCCTGGAATCTCTCTAGCCTGCAGGGACACATCAAGAAGTACAAGAGTTCAGAAACACAGACCCTCGTCTGCTCTATTTTGCACTTTGTACCTCCCCTAGGTATTATCTGACTAAAACGGACCTCTTAATGACTGAACATTGAACTAAATGTCCACAGAGAGTTCCTGTAAACCCAAATTTCAGGAAAAAAAGCATAGTTTCTCATATTACCATAGTTGTATCAATGCAGATAGTTTTAGTTTCCATTTCTGAGATTTCTGTCTGTTGCCAACACGACAGAATGTATGTGAATCAATGCACTGCAATCAACAGCCATGCTGGCAGCTCTGTACCTATAGGCACAGTGGTGATTTGAGCTAAATGCTAACAGCAGCATACAAACATGCTCAAAGTGACAATGCTATAACATGCAGGTATATTTTTACCGTGCTCACCCCAGTTTTGTGTTTTAGCATACTTTTTAGCATTAGCTGATTAGCGCTAAACACAAAATACAACTAAAGTTGGATGTCCTTCGTTTTGTAGCCATATAAACCATAGCTTTGGACAGGTATAATTTTGAGCTGATGGTGGTGCAAAATGGTAAATTAAGGGAGTTACTTCAGTTGATCCTGAAATGGACATGGCAATCCATCCAATTGTTGTTGAGATATTTCAGATTGGACCAAAGTGGTGGACTGACAGACAGACACTGTTCCTAGAGCCACAATTCAACAGAAACATTTACTTTCTGAATGAATACTTACATTATTGAACTGGGCTATTTTTTTCTGGAAATAAGTTTCCCGCCATTTTTTGGCTGGCGGTACAATCAGATATCTCAACTAATAAATCCAAAGCTATCTAAATGAGATTACCAAAACTCTGTGGATGAATATGGCACTGAGCACAGTCATTTACCACTAAAAGACTCTTACCTGCTTGTAGGTGTCTATGTCCAGATATATGTCAGTGCCTGACACGTGGCCCAAGATAGAGTAGTGGGGTCTGAAAGGTATTAAAAAATATTAAAATCTCTTATAATGTTTGCGTATACATATGGAATTCAGAATTAATGGTGTATAGTTACAGTTGTGTTCTGGAGATGAACGTGAGCATGGAAAAGACAATGGAGACAGCCAGACCCAGGTCCAGGTTTAGCAGGATGGTGCTCATGAATGTTACCAGCCACACCAGCTAGAGGGCAGCGAACACTTACAGTGAGCAGGTTCAAAGTGCTCTAAGGTTCACACAGCATTTAACTGAACAGAATGCCTCTAAAAGAGGATTTAGTCATACCAAATCAAACTTGTTCGTCTTCCATAGCATGGGCACGTCCATGAACTGCTTGAACATTCCTCTCAAATTCACAAACACTATTGTGGATAAGACAGCCTGTGGAACACACAAACAAATGTATTTACTGTATACACCCACAGCATTGCTGGTTATTAAATTCACTCAAGAGAGACACTGATCATTAGAGAGAAATGGTAGGTTGCTGGAGAGTGTTACCTTGGGAAGATCTTCAAAGAGAGAACCTATTTTTAAAATCGTGATCAGCATGATGATGGACGAAATCACTCCTGCAACCTGATACAATAACCGGTTTTATTGTACAATAAATGGTGAAGCTGAACATAATAATTAGATGTAATCGGAGGTATTTATGTGTGCGTGCGTGTGTGTTTTACTTGTGTCCTGCCCCCTGTGCTCTCCTGGACAAGGCTGCGAGACAGGGAGGAAGTCACAGCATAACATTGAAAAAAGCTGCCAACAGTGTTACTGAGACCCAAAGCAATCAGCTCCTGCAAAAAGAGAA